GATATGGTGATGTATCGTGATACTTTCTCACGCAATCGATTATTGATATGTTTTTGCTAAGTATCACATTTTTTAAGCTTTATATGAGAAAAAAAGTATTGATACTTAATATATGGCTACATTACGCATTCTACAATATCTGTAGAATGTTTATATTGATTTTATTGGATGTGAGACGATTTTTACTAAAATGTGCAGGTTAAAAGGCATTTTTGCTTGTTCACTTTAATGTTACACATGACACTTTATCCATTTATCTTGAAATAAAGTTTATTATTTCACTTAATTTATGCCATAAATATAAGAAAAATATTACCGTAGGTATATTTTTGACCAATATATTGATAATCGCTGCATTGTCATATCGCGAGATAACTGTTATTGCCAGCTTTGTATCGCACATCATATCGTATCGTGAGGTACCCTGAGGTTCCCACCCGTACTTCTAATGATGTGTTGGTTTAAAATGTTGGAATAAATGAAATGCATTGGTTTATCTGATAAAATGATTATGTAAAACATGCCTGCTAGTTTTGAGTTTATTCATCAGAGTTTCAAACTGTATTTCAAATATTTGTTGCAAAAATAATGGAACTACAGTGTATCTTATTTTTCTGAAATGACTATGTTTTAGACTTGTTCTTTTGATTTGTTTAAAAATCCCTCTAAAACTGTTGAGGTAATGTTCAATTGAGTCTTGTTTATGTGATTGTTTCTCTTTTGGCGACGCAGGCTGTGGGTTTTGGAACACACTAAAAAGCACATCAAATGATTAACTTGACTGACTGCAATTTGATCCCACAATTTCAAAACTCACATTCTCTGCCAAAATCTGATAAGAGGAAATGAGGCATAACCACTGGGGGGGAAAAATATGGCTGATTGAAATTGAAACATTTGTAAACGAAAGAGAAATTTCAAGTTTTATTTTGATGGTTGCGGCTGGACAGATTCTATGGTGTAATTTGTGTGTCAGTCTTGGGCTCCTGTTCGCAATATGTGGCGATACGTGACTGTGGGGAAAGTGGATCCAGATTTTGTTCCAGCGCTAAAAAAAACAAATAGGATATAGTATCAACTGCAATATTAGCCGATGTCTTACCTGAGAGAACGTTCTAAATCTAACCTTAATTAATAAAGATTTTTAGGCTGAGTTTGCACTGTTTTAATATAGAAGGGTTGTATATTGATGTATTTGTATTGCCTTTTTTGATGTTTTAATGCATTTTGGTGTGTTTTTATCTGCTCTTGAGTTGCCTCTTACACAAATTGAGCTATACAAATATATTATTATTATTGATTGTGAATTGTCCCGTAGAAGTAGAAGCTATGACTGTCACAATCATTGCTTGACTTGATATGAAACCTCTGGCTCATTATCGTATATTTAGTAGTTTTAAATCCAGGTCCAAACATATTCTTTTGACCACAATACAAAAGCACAACTTTCTAGACATATGTGGACCCAAATCTAATATTGCAGTTTTGTATGTTATATACAAAAAATATTGACATCACATGACATTAGTTTTGTGAGTGAGAATAATGACAGCTGCACATGGATTCTAATTTACTGCTTAACAAATCAACAGTGCTATAAAACTCCTCATTAACTCATGTTAATAAACCAGAAAACCAGAATTCGAGCAATAAACATGATTTCCAAGAAGATCGTCAATGGACCCTGAGATCCAATAGGGCTACCTTAGGTGAATATTTTGCAAACTGGATTACTGATTATTTTCTGTTTCTGCATCATGTCATAAGGCCTAAACTAGTGTTGAAACTAAATGTTTGGGATTATCTTGAAAGAAAATCAGACTTATCCCCAATAATCCAAGTCTCGGTGCTCCGCGTGGCTGTTTCCCTAAAGCTGCACATTCCAACCCAGTCCCTGCAGTTGGCTGCGTCATGTGACCACATATTTACAGTGGGGCGAGAACAGACTGGAGCTATATGACTCCGGCCAGGAGGAAAATCCATTCTGATCTCAACAGGATTCTAACATATAGCTATTATACCTCAGCTAAACTTAAGTGATTGTGTTAAGGGCGACAATGTGAAGGATTGTATGGTTAGTGGATTAGCTACACAATTAGCTACGCACCAGTAGCTGTTCTCCGCTGTCCCTTTAGGACCCACCACTGTCTGTTATATGAGCAGTTGTCGTGGCTCTCTCTGTCCTCCAGATGTCAGCTTCACTGGCTGCTGTTTATTTTTAAATGTATCTGTTTAAGTTTTCCGGACTTTTTAAAACAATATTTGATTCCTCTCCGATCCTCTTACAGTTTGTGCCATGCAAACCAATGTTTCTTTGTAGTCCCTAGAGTCAAAAAAGAAGTCAGAAATTTTTCATTTAAACTTAAAGCTCCCTCTGACTGGAACAGTTTACCTTTATCCATCCGCTCTCTCACTTATCTGCCTCTGTTTAAAAATGCTCTGGTACAACACCTCCAGAACCCATGCCAGTGTTTTTGAGCATATGAACCTAAATTATATTCAATGATATGTACTACTATAGATACTAGCTGTAATCTGTTAATTTATAACAGACATTATATTAGCAACAATCTGTGTGTGTGTGTGTGTGTGTGTGTGTGTGAGTGTGTGTATGTGTGTCCTTTGTCGTTTGTATTTGTATTATTTTGTTATATTGTTTGCTCTGTCTGCTTTACTGCATCTGTCAATTTGTGCAATTTTGAGGACCCCCTCGAAAACGAGATGATTAATCTCTAGGGGCTTATCCTCCAAACAAATAAATAAATAGGGTAGTTCTTTTGCTGCTGCTGCCATTCCCATTTATTAACACTATATTGATCTTATATTCAGTCCAATACAGAAATCCTAGAGTCAAACCATCAGACCTCTGTGAATGCCTGTGTGGTCCGGTTATGATCACAGTCTGACAGAAATTTGAAATCTTTTACCCGTTTCTGTCTCTTTGGAATTAAACAAGATTACATAACATTGCGAAATAATCCAGCCTGATGCACTGGAATGTACTTTCTAACCCATGAATATTATTGTGTGTATAATGGTTCAACAGTAGTGAAGGGTGTCCTGCTTATCTGGTGATGTAAGAACAGGGCCTTTGTATTCCACAGAATCTGGATTTTGAAAAAGGATTATGATCTACATTTTGAGGGCTGTGACGTTGGTTTTAACATGCGTTAAAAAACTACTATTTCTGTACTGTGAGGGGATAATACAGATTTATTTAGTTGATATCAAAGCAACAAGTTTCACCTTGTAATAGCAAGGTGCATTGGAAAACACCTGATGTAAATATAAATGTTTTGAACCAAATGGGGTAGGAAGTTCTTAGTTATGGGAAAAAGGAAAAATATCACATCAAGGAATCTATGGAGCAAAGCTGGAATAACATTTGGCAATTTTGAAGCAAAATGTGTGGCCAACTGTTTAATGAAGCAAAGAAAATCCAGTGCACAATTTTTAGTAGTTTGAGGTAAGTTGTTTTTGAAGCTTAATATTGGGTCCAGAAATATAGTGTCATTTAAATATAGCTTTCTTAGGCTGATATTTTGCTACACTAAAATCTGTTTGTATCCAGTGAAAAGTTGCTTTTAGGGAATGGTTAGCGTTCTGCATTTGCATATTTCTCTGTTAATGCTATGTTATTATGGCTATATATTGCCTTGGGCTGTTTGTCTATTCAATAATGCAGCTTAGAAATGATTGAATGAGCAGCGATGGTCAGTGAGGCGAGGCTTCGAGCCAAACGGTTTCACATGAACGGAGTGGAGGGTTCTGTTATATTTATGTGACAAATATCATCCATTATTTGACACTATTCCTTTTGTCCCTTACAACATGATTGTGAGAATATTACTTTAACATTTCATGTATTAGAATGTGAAATGATTTCCTATAGCAATCATACATCTCGTAAACATGGCCGATAAAGTAATAAACTCCAAGACTGCTTTCTAGCGGGGGAAGTGTGAAATTACATTCTGCTACATTTATATTGAAGAACATTGTGGTGTGGTTTAGATTCAGTCCAAAAGTTTATCTAAGTTTTTGATAATTTGACAAAAAAGGAAAAGTGACGTGTTTGCTCTAGAAGTTCCTCATATTTCCATGGACGGATGTTTTTGATGAGGTCGATGTTGTGCCGTACAGGAAAGACCCTTTGAATAATGTTTCCCTTCAATTCCAAGGATTTCTTAATGATTGAATCATGATTGCAATGTCCATCTGAAGAAGAGATGGATAGATATTTATTCAAAACTGTTCAGTGCCAGCGTATTGCCCAATCACAAAAAAGGAGACTGAAGATTCTAAAAAATATGTATTTGTCTGTGTCTTGTACTATACATCCTAAAGAACTGTAATTTCAAATTCGCTATTCTTTTCATGTCAGTACAATTGAGTCACTTTTTAAGCTCAGCAGAGAAAAGCTTTTAAGCAGTCTTCAGCTGGAAGTAAAATGTGCTGCCGTTAATGTTAGATAAGTGTTTTGTTCATAGCAGACATTCTGTGCTTTTTATATTCATACATAACAGGTCAATATATACGTGGATTTGTTAAAACGCCTCTGATGGTGTGCTGATGGTGCAGACATACCAGCATTTGGTGCTGGGACTGCAAGAAATTACTACTACTACTACTACTACCTCTGAACTGACTTGAGCTGAATTATTTTGACCTACTACTGTACTTACTAATTTCTTTGTTATTATTCCATTTTTTTCTTTTTTCTTTTTGACTGTAATCTTTTCCTTTGCATTATAACTGTTGTCTCGTTATTCATTTTTAATTATGGAATTTTGACCAATGGCAAATGACTTAAGGCAAAACTCTATATTTTAACAATTTTGCCACAAAAGGGAAAATTAACGTAAGCTTGGTTACAACAATCCATGGACCAAAGTGAGTGACCAGATGCACTACTGGAGTATCTCACATCACACTGCACGACTGGACTACACCACTTTTTTTTTCACTTAGGTTGGATTAGTTTACTTCTGTTTCCTGTGATGGCCAGCTCAAGGTCAGAGGATCACTCTAGCATCTTGCACATGTTGTTTATGAATATGTCTTATTCTTGTTAGTCTTTGTACTGTTTGTACTCGCCGTAGTACAGTGACTGGGGATCCATCTCCAGATTTCAATGCTCGGCTTGGTCAGAACCAGAGCTGGAGGATTTTGTCTATTGCACATATTTTTAGTGGTAGGGGAAACCGGAGCACCAAAAGACTATGCAGGCACGAGGAGAACATGCAAACTCCTCTCAGAAAGGCTCTGTTCTGACATTGTCCCTCCTTGTAGTCTCTGCTCTTGAAGCTTGATCTTGGTGGTACTTACTGTATATTCTAACTTGGTGGCACTACATCATTAAAATAAAAGGTCTTTCATATCACTCGAACCAACCAAAACCAGAGCTATAATCATCCAAACACCCATTTCAAAAGACAAGGAAGGACAAGAAAGGTATTTTGTATCAATTCGGATGCAGCCTGTGATTGCGGCGAGGGAGTGAAAGAAAGGAAGTTCATGTGGGGAAAGGCAGGAAGTTGGCCGTACAGTAAAAAGAAGAATTAAACTGTGAAATTAAGGCAGAACATTCTGCAGGGTGCTGAGAGTCTTTGATAACCTCATACGCATTGAATTGGAGGGCTCAAAAATAAACATATTGAATATTTTTAAGGCAAATGTCATTTTGAAATTATGTTGTTGGTTGATTAAAATATCACATTGAAATGTGTAAAGTATTTTTGTGGACAAAAATATTCAAACATACTTTTTCATGGTTAAAAGTTTCAAAGGGGAAAAATCAACCTAATTTAAAATTCCAAATATGGAAAAAAATCTTCCCTAGCAAACTCGTTTTGAAAAATATAATTGAACATACAAACAAGACATGCCTTTTTCATGTTAGGTTGTGGCTTTATTGAGATTAGGGTGAAGGTTTTGGTCAAGGTTAAAGGCTGTGGTATAGGTTAGAACCAGTCTCCACAGGAAAAGATTGTAAGTTAATGAAATGTCCCACAAAGCCTTGAAACCAGCATGTATTTTTCAAAAGGTTTAATCAAGGCTTTAAGCAGAATTGCAACAGCAGCCGGCGCTTTCACATAGATTTAGACCTAAATTACTGCATTGAAGAGCACAATCCAGCGACATACTTGGGTATTTGCTGTATTTACTTACACATTAAGGATTAAAAGAAAGGCTTTTGAATAGAAAAGCAGATTAGTAGGCCATTACATGGCTTTATGTGGACTCTATACCCATAGTAGTTTGACAATAACTTTGGATTACTCTTTTGCTTGGGATGGTTTTCACATGTGTTTGTACAACCACAGTTTAGGCAGCATGAAATCCTCCAAAGCTTCTATCCAAGCAATAGAACAGTTCAAAGTGGTTCTATGCTTCACTGCACTGTCTGTCTTTGCCTGGAGATGCTAAACCAATATTTACAGTAAACAACAGAGGCATACGACTTAAATCTCTGTTGTAGTCCGTAGTTAAAACAGCAGTGCGTGAGCTCAGGCTTATTTTTGAAAAGGACATAAGTGGCATATTAAGCCTAAGTCGGTTGAAGCTTGCATGTTGCAGTGAATCATCCGCCCCCATAACCCTATTTGCTGCATCCTTATCTGACTTTATGTCCGCTCACATTCATTCATCCGCTGTTGGCTCCGTCACTTCACTCACAGCTTTGAGGAATATATCAAAGTAATCACTAATCTTGGCAGAAGTCTCAAATGCTGTGTGTACTTCCAGGCCTCTTCATTTTCATTTAATTTACTCTTTCAGTCATTTTGACACATTACAAATTACTAGGGCTGTCAAACGATTACAATTTATAATCGAGTTAATTACAGCTTAAAAATTAATTAATCGCATTTCAAACTATCGACAAAATGATGCCAAATTTTTCTGTAAATGGTTGTTTGAATGGACAGTGTACATACGTACTGTATTTATTCATTATAACAAATACAGTACATATGTACATATGTACATTTGTAGTGACTCAGATCAAAACTATTGTTTGTTACAGATGAGGGACATTTCAAAACAGTCTGAAATGTCGAATGTCATTGAATCTGTTTGATTTGCTCACACCACTACTTTTGGGCACAACCAACATGAATTGGTAGTGGATGGGAAAATTAGGTACCCCAGCTTTAATTTAGCAAGTGCGCTTCGGGAGAAGACACTGAGGAGACTGAGGCTCCATTGTCCAGCTTTTGCGCTGTATTTAATGTGTGCACCGGTTATGCAAAGACACACACATTACAGTACAAGCAGAGAATAGTTCTGTGTGTGTATGGTCTTGGATATGATCAGGTTCCAGCGGCGCCGTTTGCCGTGATCACAGCTGCTTGAGGTGGGAACTGCGCCCGCAGAGCTCATACAGGAAACAGCAGCAAGTGGCCCGCGGTCACGCGTGTATTCTTTTAAAGCTTGGATTCCCAGAGGGCCTACCTGCTCTGTGACCATCTCACACACGCATATGTCCGCGGCATTCTGAGTGTTATTATGGGATGCAAGGGCATGCGTCAAATTATAGCGATTAATGACAAAAATTAATTAATGTGCGTTAACGCGATAATTTTGACAGCCCTACAAATTACATAATTCAACTCTCTGCCAAGCAGATCTGGCCCATGGCCACTTTTCCAACAATATACAGTATACTTGTATTATTCGCTGTTTTTTTATGGAGTAATCCTTACTTTCACCTGGCTGTTCTGTGCCGTATAAGAATACACGTCTCGTCTAGTCTAGTCTGTTGCTGATTCAATATTGTTTGATTGAGCAATGTTTGCTTTTTAAATCTTTTGGCACAAGGCGCTCTTATCAAACTTCCATTGTATGTTTCAGACTATGGCCCTCAGTAAAACTGAAATATGCAATATATTATTAATGCTTAAGATGAGGAAATCAGTGCTTGAACAGGGTTTGATTCCACCTCCAGACCTCTCTGACTGTTGCATGTTCTCCCTGTGTCTGTGTAGGTTTTCCTCCAGTTGCTCCATTTTCCCCAACCACTAAAACATGTACAATGATCTGAATGTAAAGAGTGAATGAGCAGATTGTGTGAATGGCTTTGTGACTCTGGTCTGTGAGTGCTATATAAATAAAGATGACTTACTTACTCTACATGTTCCATTGTTTTTTGTTCGCAAAAAAAATTATACAGAATGAATAGTGTGGACTCTTTATAATGTTGGTATTCAAACTTTTGAATTGTGACTCTTAAACTAAAACATTAGTTGCAACTTAAAATTCCTTGCAAATAGAGCTGTGGCTAAAATCCAAAGTATAGATAATCACAATCTCAATAATTATTGTAATTATAAACTTGTGGACTCTTGGAGGAAAACGAATGTGGACTGTGGCCTGTGCGGGAATGCAATCTATGTTTTTCTTCATTTGCTTTTTGTTTGTTTTATATTTAACCTTGTCACCCTAAAGCCATATGAACACAGATGGAAATTAGTAAGAAATCAGACCACTACACTCAAGCATGTTATATTTTGTATTCTGAAAACTAATTGGCCAAGTGAGGGCTGGTACTCTGATTTAAAGATGTGACAAAGGCTGAAATACATTTGTGTGAAAAGTTATATAACCAAACGGAGAGAGTTAGGGATTAATCACATCGATTTTTTATTACATAGTTAATTATTTGTGGCCCGTCAGCTTTGATAAGGTTTGTCTAATATTGTTTTTGTCGTACCAGTAATTTGGCCTAATTCTTAGTATTTGAAAAAAATCTAACTGGGTTTGGTCACTCTGGGGATAACAATGGTGATACATTTGTTCCTAGATCGGCCAACCCGACCTGCAAATGAGTGTCGGGAGCCTATCTTTATTGACGCCTTGCTCTCCTTGTGTTTTCAGTTCCACATCGCGAGCCGGAGATGCGAGCTCTTCCTCGGGACAGAGTCAGTCCAAAACAGGAGCGACACATAAGGTCTGTCTGGTGTGTTCAGATGAGGCGTCCGGCTGCCACTACGGCGTGGTGACCTGCGGCAGCTGCAAAGTGTTCTTCAAGAGAGCGGTGGAGGGTAAGGCCCAAACACACACTGCATTCATGAATAAACAAGCATGGACTAATGGGCTAGGTTCATGTCATTGGTTAGCAGGCCTTAAAGATGCAGTCACTGATTTTTCAAGACAAATTTTTATAATTAATGTGGGAAAACATAATATTTTTTAGCGGACCGATAAAAATAAACCAATGGGATTCGTTCATCCCCAATGAACCAATAGGATGTGTTTTCCGCCTTCACCCTCTTCCTGTTTCTCGCGAGTGCACCTGAGTTATCAGATTTCCTAAAACCTAAAAGGGCTGAACAGAAAATGCCAATTTCACGTTTGCAACCCACTCTCCTGTTGTGACAAAGAAAATAAAATGCTGGATGTTTGGTTTGGTGGAGAGGGAGGGTGGAGTGGTTTTGAGTTTGGGCTATGGCTAAGTTAACAAAATCGCTCACTGAACTTTTAAGAGAATGGTGCGCAATTAAACTGTATTCAACTTAAAATATAGTCATTTTATAGAATCCAGAAAAGTGTGCAGAGGCTGAAAATGGTGCTGGCAGTCCTGTTCAGCCTCAAATCATCAACATTCGTTTTGTTAATTTAGTTTAAAAGTGTGACACTTTGGACAGGAAGTGGCGAGTGTTTGGGGTTAAGTGTTTTCACTTAACTGAAATGTTTTCCCACAAATTTTAACTTAAACAATAATAAAACATTTTAAAGACTCTTCTATCTCAAACTCAGTCCAAATAACAATAATGAAGGTTCCTCAGATTTGGTTTGTCAAATATTGTCCTTTCATTTATTCAGTGCGAATAATAATCCTTCTGTTTTCAGTTTCAACATTACAAAATGGGAAATGATTATTGCATTTTTTAAGGTGCAATTAACAACAAATAAAACATATTTTGTGTCAGCTTTTGTGGAAGTAAGATTTGTATGTTCAGTGTGTATAAGCCTCCATTTTAAACACAATCCCTGTTGCTTGCCTTTAGAGACGGTGACCACATTTGCTCCTGGTTCTAATCACTTTTGCATATTGATGTCTGTGTTTCTGCATTGTGTAATAACAACACAGAACATGTGCATAGAGTAGGACCGGTTAGCGTCCATTAGCTGTGTACGTTTTGTCCCAAAGATCATGAAGCATTTGCATTTTATGAGAGACTTGCATAATAGGGAAACATCTGCCTCTATGTCCTTCGCTGCTAAATCAAATTAGCATTTTGAAAATCGATTGTGATCAGAGTCTAGGTTTTGATGTCCTTTTATGTAATCAGGGTTTTTCTCAGATAACTAGTACTTGTAAAGAACATTGTTGCATTAAAAAGTAACTGCTCCTGTGAGTAAATAAGGCAAAATTATTTCCTCATTTCCACAGAAAAAACATATATTAACATAAATATTAAGTTCAGTGGCTCTATAATGCTGTTCCACACGTCTCCTTAGTTACATGTACAATTAGGCAATATAAACAAATGTGAAAATACGCTGCCGACGAGACAGAGAGTGAGGGGAATCCCACCGAATAGCATCATCCTTTACATACACCTCCTATCTACACGTGATGTGCTGTCTGTAATGTACAAAACGTTACTGGACCATGTTCAAACACAGAAGGATTAGGGAGCAGGTAAACCACGTACCACAGCACTGTTCGCAAAACTAGGTCACAACGGAGTTTCTTTACGCAAGTCAAATGTGAGCGCTAAAACATCAAAGATTTCACTGAATTCTGAACATTCTAAAACATGACAAGGAGCCATGGCTAGTAAAGTTTACACCTGTGACAGAGACACGTTTACTGTTGAGGGTGCACTAAACCTCTTCTGCATTCACGAGAGGCAAGGCATATTTACCAGTGTAGGATAGTTTACTAAATAATTTAAATTATTCATGTAAAATTTCTACATTTATGTTTGACAGATAAATATAAATCCTTCATTTTTTACATATACATTTGTAGGGACTTGATTGTCATTTGTGATCACATCCACTAAGAGTTCTGTCTGATTCTGCTCTTCTCCCCTCTCTATAACCTGGTCGTTGTGTCTGTGGTGAAGGATGGAGAGCGCGCCAAAACACTGATGGTAAATAAATACACTTTTAATAATCAATAATGATGATTAGAAATATTACAACAATTATAATTTACATGTATTATCATTATATTCCTGATATACACTACATATCTCCCTCCAACCCCGATACAAGACCCATCTGTCTGAAAGCAGGTGTGGTGGTGCACTTCAATTCAAGGCAATGTCCCTTTTGGAGGAACTTTCAATTCAATTCAATTTATTCTTGTATAACCCTAAATCACAACAGTGGTTATCTCGGAGGGCCGTTGAATTCGACAACACAGATCAGAGAATCAAACAGTTCAAACACAAGAAATGCAATGATTGAACACACATAGAACCATTGATCCATAAGGAGCAGATGACCATAAATGTACTTTAATGTTGCATCATCACCACTGCACTTAGACCCTCCTGCATCGGCACGAAAAAACTATAAAACCCAAACACTAATTTCATTCATATGTAGTGATGACAGAAATGAGTCTTTGGCTTGCTAAAGTATAAGGCAAGTTTATTATACGGCACTTATGCACAGTCCAAAATCCAAGTAAAGATGTTCAACCATGGCAATAATGTTGATACGATGTCAGATCAGCATTGCCTTTCTTTATGTATCTGAAAGAAATACGCAAACAGGATTTTGCTTGTGACTGCTTGAGAAAAAACCTTTTACAAAGAAGCCAAAATAAGGAGAGATCATGGGTTCTTTGGGAGCAGTCTTGAGCCCTGAAAAAATATATGTAGATGTTGCATGCTCCCCAATCTTAATTAAAATAAAAAACCTGTTCATAGTGAGTACTTTTTATCTTTGGATTTGTTATTTTTTGGTCCAGATTTGCTAAACCCAACCACCAAAAGCTGAGACAGACTGGAGTTATTTACATGCCGCAGTCGGAAGATGTGGTTGTTATTACAGATTACACTTGAAGCACTGAACCAGGGCACTTGTGTGTTCAAGTGGGCTCCGGCAAGACTTTTATAACAAGACATGAAAGGGTGGAATTAGTGAATGAATCTTATACATCTCAAATAAATCAACTATGGAACCACACTATACATGGTACAATATGTTCAGGAGCTCAACCCTCAATGATCTCTGTGACTTTTATACATTTTATTCATAATACAATATGGTTTAATCTGTTGAGTAATTAGAAAGTGACACTGCAGAGTCACTGTAAAGGAAATTAAAAACCGTGGGTGTGGCGCGGTGGTGGTTGTTATCGGAGTGAAGCAAGTTTCTTTTTTGATTGATTGATTTTATTACACAGCGGAGAGGGCACAAACTGACGAGGCTGAACGATAGATCCAGGTGACAATGGGCCTCATGTATGAAACTTGCGTACGGCCAAATCAGGGTGTAAATGATGCGTACGCAAGAAATTTACACTTTTCGGCATTTATCAATCTGGACGTGAGCGTACGGTACGCACATAATTTACACCAAGTCAATAGGTGGTGTAAATGTTTACACTCATTTCACCCTTCGTCACAACACGCCAAAGCATGCATGAAATTCAAGATTTGGACAACAATAAACATGTTCTCACTCTGGCAATATTATAAGCTGCGTTTTCATGGAGCATCATGTTTCGGAATTTGAATTTGCGCAAACCACACGGACCACGTTTGTGCTGCTGGTCCTCGGCATCAGCTCCACACACATCACTTGTATTTAAACTTTAGCGGAGACCAGTGAGACGCGGCTCGTCATTTGCTGCTCTGACCATTTGAACGAGCCGTCGTTTGTTTAAAAATGCTTGCAGCACAGAAGAATGGGAAAATTAAAAAAACAGTTCTCTGTGTGCACAAAGGGGCCGAAGCTGTTGCGGGTTTTGGCGCCGCTGTCTCGGCTCTGATCCTGATCCTCAAAATGCCTGTTATTTCAAAGAACCTGGGATATTTTAAACTACGCGGTTAAGCGGTTTCAACCAGTTTATGAGGCTCGGTGGTCGGTCATGAAAATTCATAGTATTTTACATCCCTAGACAGCATAAGCAGATGTAGAGAGGAAAAAACAAAGACAAAGATGTGCTTCTTTTTTTTCATCCAAATCTTTATTTTCATTTTACAACAATTAAATCAAATTTATTTTGAATGGAAAATGGCATGTACATAACCTTCAATGCCAAAAAGTTCATTACATTTAGAGAAAAACAGTATTTGTTTAATCTGATATATATCGTATTTCCATCCTTGACACCAGATTTGCATTTTGCAGATTTTCCAGATAACGTTTTTTTAGTTTTTTTGTTCCTATGTTCTTGATACCCCCTATGCCAGGGGTGTCCAATCTATAATTCACCAAAATTGTCCAGGGGTATTTATGATTAGAGACTACTACAAGACTACTTTAGGTTAGCAAGGCAGAGGGCCACATATAATGACACAGGTTTAGCGACGTCTGTTCTATACATCACTGTAATTTATGGGAAGACCACCATACCGTAAAGCACTATAAATATGAGGATTTACCATGTTTCCATTTGTCATTATTATTCCTGTACAACATCGGTTGTATCAGTGGAGTCGTGCCAGGGCCTTGTTTGAAGCGGTGCCCAGGATCAGTCTCATATCAGTGGGATTCAGCTGCTTTGGCCCGTCTCACCACAGAGGGCTGTTTTTCTATGACTTCCTGTTGTATATCACTGCAGTGTCGCACCAGATTAGCACGGAAAAACTGAACCAAGGCGATCTGTTGTTTACACCTGCACAATGGTCTTCATTTGAACTGTGACGGTTCATTTTGTTGTAATAAAACCTTGCATGTAGATACAGTAAGTAATTATTTATATACCGCCTTTTCACTGCAGAGCTGAGTCTCAAAGCAGTTTACAATTGTTATTTTTTTTGGGCATTTGTCTCTCACTCCACACAGAGATGGGAGCGGGGTCACCAGTACAGGAGGCGCATTCCAGAACTATTTTACATATTTTTAGCGGTAGGGGAAACCGGAGTACCCGGAGGAAACCTACGCATACACGGGGAGAACATGCAAACTCCACTCAGAAAGGCCCTGGTCCGACCGGGATTCGAACCCAGGATCTTCTTGCTGAGAGGCGAGAGTGCTATCCACTCAGCCACCGTGCCGGGTTTTAGCCAAGTTCGGACCAGATTGTTTTCGTTTGCCCAGGTCAAATTTAGATTTAGTTACAGAGTAAAAATAGTGATATGACACTCTAATAGCTCACTTTTCAGTTACTAAAAATAGACCTCTGGACACTGGTCTGCAGCCACATGGACCAGACCTTAATGCACTTGATTGAAAACATGCAGGGTTGAAATGACCCAGTATTAAGTAGGAAATTAGCACAAAAAATTTTTTTCACTTGATTCCTTAAGCAGAAATACTTATATTAATGAATTCATATATATTTTCAACTGTATACACTTGTTCAGTATCAGATATATTGGGCCAATATTTTAGGTTCCCTTCTTGCTAATATGCAACCATGGCATGTTATACCTAATTTTAAAGCAATGAAAGAACAGGAAGTCAGTGCAGAAAAATGAACACTGGACTAATGTGATCATACTTTCTGGTTCTAGTCAGGACTCGAGCTGCAGCTACATAGTGTGCAATGCAATGGTGTAGGTTTGGTTCCAATCTTGGTGGGGACATTCACTACAACCCTTCTATACTAAACTCAGCTGTAGACTGAATGAGGAGCAGTTAAGGATTTTTTCTAATAGTTAAAACAAAATCAATTGGATCAGAGCTTCTGAGTTTTGTGTTGCGTTCATTCTAACTTTGTCCACAAGATGGCTTAAATGTTTATAGTAAATAAGATAGTAAATATATCCTGTATTCAGGATCAGGCTGATATGGTTTACAACCTATCTCAAATATGCTGTCCCTGGCACTTTCTTGAGAGTGACTCTCATTGGCTGCCTCCTAAATAGCAAATACACTGTTATGAAACTTTAAAAAATCCCATATTTTATCTTCATAATTCCAGCCTCACCTGAAGCCCAGCTTCGATATCTGCCTGCACTACATCTTCCCTGAATACCTGAGTTCCCTATAATAAATAAAACACATGTAGTACATTAAACAAATCAGATCTAAGCATATACAAAATAAAACCACCAACAAAACCAAATAAATACTTTCAACCTCACCTGAAGCCCTGAAGGTCCAGCCACTTCCTCATCCTCTACCAGCACTGCACATTCCCTGTTTGTCTGACTTTCCTTTATGGTATTAATAAAAACACACATTCTACATTGAATAAAATGAAACCTAGGCATGGTACACCAGTCGCTAAATATCTCATGAAACTAGAATTGGTTGATGGGTCTAAGATTATAACTGCTTAATCCTAACCTCACCTGGAGTCCTGTCTTGTCCTTGTCTTCACAGTATCTCCTTCTTGTATTTCCATTATATCTCTCAGAGTGTCCTATATTTAGTAAAAGATTTCAGACAACACTTTTTTCATCATTATAGTTTGTTTGAGTTTGAGTTGGCATAGGTAATTTCCAACCAAATGATGTTCTTTAACTTTAGTATGATTTTATACTGACTTAAACCTAATCCAAATCTACATAATAGCCCTCACCTGAGGCTCTAACAGTTCAGGAACTGCTCTCGATACTTGAAATAAATCATGCTCTGATCTTTCAATTGCCTATAATAAATAAAAACAGAGGAGAAAATATTGAATTAGAATCTACAGTGAGTAGCTCACTACATTGTTTGACATATACGATCAATCTCTAAAAACAATTCATAGTCCCATGCATACCTACAAAATTCCAACCTCGCCTGATGCACTGAAGGGCCTGTTGCTTCTACCTCAACATTCCCTATATTGTTCTCTTTTGTTGGTTGAGTTTCCTATGTATGTTAACAGAAGATTAATCATCACAATTCATAATTTGCTATTACTTGTGCTTTCTCTTACTTACTTTCCAACTGTTAAAAAAGCTCTTGATATCTTTTATCTTTTTTTGTGGAGGTGGCATTTTTTCTAAATTATATAAGAAGGTATAGACAATCAAAAACAGACATTCATATACATGAACTGCAGAATCATGTATATAACTTGGCCAATGTCAAAAGTTACATAGTATTTCTCAATACAATGAGTTAACAAGAGTTTGGCAATAAGTAACAGTGTGGATTTTTCTATATTTTCTTTTTTTTATTCCACTCTCAACCCAAAAAGGCAAGTAATGACTCACAGGGCTCTCAAGTATGCAAAGTAAAAACTTAAATGACCTGTTGTGGTGTGTTTTGCGCACAACCAGCATGCATCGTTAACGCAATGGAAAATTTAGGTATCCGAGCTTTAATTTCGGGAGCGCTGGTTGCGCTTTGGGAAGAGTCAGGGGAGAGACATGTCAGAGACACAGGGGAGAAACGGGGGAGATACGAGGGAGACATGGTTCTGTCCGCATATGGTCCGAGCTCGGTACCATGTTAGAGCTGTGCTTTCACTGAGCGCCGCGGCTGTCATTACAAAGCGGCAGCAGCTGCACCAGGACGTGCACATTCGAGTGCATCGCTTGAATGTGCTTAGAGCAAATAACAGCAAGTGCCCGCTGTCACACATTTCACAGAAATTACATTATCAGCAGATAAAGGTTGTAAATCGTGGATCCGTGGAATATTTTCATCCCTAGTTTATCCTGATTCACACAACACACTCACTTATACATTTTGGATAGTAAGAGCACAATAAGTATTTTTTCAGCCTTTCAACCAACCTGTTTCTTTATTGGAGCCAGTTCTGTTCTGTCTCTGTGCCGTGTGAGCTCCTCGGAACATTAAACAGTGCGCTGACAGATTAGAAATAACGTAAGTACTTTGAATGGTAATAGATCTACAGTACTTTCCTCTGATTACTCACGTGCTACAACGCTCAGGGAACGAAAAAAAACACTTGCTTCACGCTGGCTAACTTTTAAAAATTAAACAGTTGCTCAGTGCTTCAGTTTGGCGCTGAAGAAGACAGCCAATCACTGCAGAGAACGGAACGGGTCACGTGCTGCTGCTGCTGCTGTTGCTCTGGAGGCGAGGAGGAGGCGCGACGTGTGCACAAACGGAAGACATGTGTCCCGGACCGTCCGGGTCACGGGACATCATGTCATTTTGGTGGGGACTTTTTAGTCCTCACCAAATATTGGTGGGGACATGTCCCCATGGTCCCCACGCAAACCTACGCCCTTGGTGCAATGAATAGTTAAAGGTTTTTCCAGTGTAAGCATGGCACTCTTCTAAAATGCATTCATTGTGTAGACCTTTTAATGAGTCAATGGATGGCAAGCTGAAAAAAAAACAGTCTTTTTTTTAAACTACCATCGTCATTTTAATGGGGCTCTAATTTCTATGCATTTAGTGTTGTCCCTTTATACTTTAGTAAACTAATTACAATATCAGGGACAACGTTGATCTTAAACAGCATCTGATTGGTCCGTTACTATACCCCCATTGGTTCAGTCTTGTCCCTGAATTTCACAAATCATTTCTGATCTCCTTATCCGACATTTACTGTATAATGTTGTGACAACAGGCTGAGTATTGTTTAGATATGACATTATTTCAAACGTCTGCTAACACAGACATCAAATACATCTCCTACAATCCCGCTGCAGTCAATTCTAAGCCGATTCTTTCATTTTCTCCTATGCCCAAGCGCCTGCGGGCCCAATGGGCCGAAAGAAGACATATTAGAACTGTGTAGTGAATTATTTTGACGTTGTAATAGAAGAGGCTGCAGTGTTTTTGAACTCCCCCTGAGGTCTGAACACACAGAGAAACCGAGGGAACAGAGACGGAGATCTGGTCAGGAGAGGATTAGAATGAAGAGCCTGAACTAGCCCTGATACTCTCCTGATCACGTAACAATGTTTTATGGTCCCAAAGGGCAGAGAGTGGCAGCACTGTTGACTTTTCATAAGGCCTGCTTAAAGCTGTGGACTGCGTGCAGCTTCATGTTTGTGAACCATAAATGAGACTCAGCCGTGCTCAGACTGCGGATATCTGCAGAGTGACCTAAGAGGATCCTCCCTCCTCTCAAAACTTAAAGCTGGGGTACCTGAGTTTGAAATGGAAAGGAATACTGTGTTGACATTTTTAAAAGTTCCATGTCTGTGTCTCACCTGGCTCCTCCTTACAACGATAGCAATAGTTTGGGATATCCTAAGTGACACCGAAAAATGTGTCAAAAATGGTGGACCAATAAGCAGTTAACTGGCCCTATGAGGACGCTAGCCCTATGGAACAGTGTCATTTATATGTTCATTGAATTCTGTTTTTTCTTAATTAGAAAAATAAAATAAACCAAGAGACAAACAATCTTGATGATATCACTACATTTGGTCTTTACATTATATACAACTTGTTTTGGAAGATACTGTATGACTCTTTGGGCTGACCATGGGTGGTCATCATGCCTACTGAATAGATCCCATCAGACCTCTAAGGCTAATCTGGTTAGATCTGTGATGGGAGACCTCTGGGAACACCAGGAGCCACAGTGTCTAGAATGAGTCTGGTGTGTGTGAATGGTTGGTGGTGATTAGTGGGAGTGATGGCACGTACTGGCCCAGGGCAGCTGTGGCTACAGTATTTATTCATCACCACCATGATGTGAATGAATAATGACACTTGAAGCATCTTTGAGTGTCCAAAACATCACTGTATAAAGCCAATGCATTATTGTTAGAGTTCTGTGTTGTGTTGTTAACCATAAACAAGTAAATAATGTATTATTCTAAAACCACTCATAAACTGTTGCACTGTCATACAAAATGTGTTTCCATCTTTAGGAATACTATAACCATGTCATCATTCTCTTTTAAAGTCTGAGCTGTTTTTCTTGGCGCTAATCTGATGTAAAAGTTCACATATTGCATTGTATTGCAAAGATGACAACTCTATAGGACTGGTTTAGTGCTTTGTTCTAGCTAGGAAGTATATCTTGATATGAAATTCATGTGATTTGCTCAGAGCGATGTCACAAGCTGTTAGAACACCATCGTCTAAACTGCCACAGACTAAAAATGGGCTATGAGGTTATTGCTGTGCACACATGAGAAAAAAAATGCGGCATCAAATTAAAATTGACCACCTATGTGAGTTTGGAATAGGCCTGATTGAAACTGGAACCCATCGCGTCAGTCCACTCGTGGTAATGAGACGGATTGCGTGTTAATTAGTACAGTGCTGCTTGCTGAGCCCCATGTAATGCAGTGATAAGTGGTGACATTCAATAGGCTACTGCAGTCTCTATTACACACTTATGGCTCAAAGATTTTGTTATTTAAAAGACAGGAACTATGTATATATGTATTTAAAACATACATCTATATTGATTATAGTCATTCTGGTTTGAAAAGTTTTGTGCCCCAGCTTTAAACATATGAGTCATTCTTAAAACATATTTTATCGATTTTTTAAGAGTGTATTCGTAGCTGTCCACGGATTTCAGCTCCCCATTTCAGATTCTAAGCACCTCCTGTAGCATTCAATAGATATACTATGGCAACGGTGCTTCTTTCTCATCGTTTCTAAAAGCCATGGAAACACGGTGGTAGAATCCGTTTTGACCGTGAAAATGTCCCTTTGCATGATCCCCACATTCAATTCCATCCATGCCACGTCTCCGATCATCCTTGTGGTATTCAAATCTGGAAACATTATGCTGAACTCAACACGGAGCCACGAAGAAACCTGTCTCCGATAAATCACATCTTTGGATGGACTGCTCGTTCACAGTGGACCTCCATCTGTTTTTGAGATCTTTTGGCAGTCGATCCCGTCGCCGCAGCCAGCAGCAGTGATATAATCAACAAGACTGTTTTATTAAGTAGTAAAAAGTCATTACCAGTCCATGTGCGGTCAGAAAGATCAGGCTGAAGTACAAAAATGCAAACAAAAGTAATGCTGCTATTAGCCTTTGGTAAATGGGAGGCATTGTGAAGATTTGCCTGGATTTACTGTAGACTATTCTGCAAAGGTGGCAACAGTACTAGTTTTAGGTACTGAAGTATAAATGTATGAGATCTGCACTGGCAAAAGTACAAGAGTTGTTCCTTAAAAGTAAATAAATTCTACCTCAGAAACTAGTTTTATTATGCCAAAATGTGTATATGGATTGTGTGCCACTCTCATAGATGAACTGCTGTGTAAGTGTTATGTATCAAAGCTGGGGTACCTATACTTTCAAACCACAATAAATGAATTCATAAAATCCATGTAACTAGTTTCTTGCTCTCAAATCGGATTGGTTCTATAACTAGTGTTCATATATATGTCATTTTGATCTTGAGAACAGTTGAGATTATAAAAAGGACCACCCTCACTCAATCAACGTCAAATAGTACCTCACAGATGACATTTAACTACAAAATAATTAGATACTTTTAATGCAACAGATAAAACACAACTATAAACTCATAGTCATGTGTTGATATATGCAAGAAATGCAAACCGTTTACTCGCATCTGTGTACATCTGTTATTACTGTATCTCAAATGTGTCTTTTTTGCAAATCCGATCACTATCTGATTCTGCAAATATTAGATCATGAAATGTCAGGAAAGCAATTGCATCAGATTATGACGTGGATTTACCCTGATAAAAAAGTACCTCAGCTTTAACCTCATGTATCAATCAAACTTTAAGACAATATAAATGATTTCAGGTCTTTTCTGAAGGCACTACAAATATTCTAAAGGAACGAATATTGTAATCTTGCTCAGGAGCGCTTTGGTATAGACCAGTAATGTTATAAGGAGAGAACCGATTCCCTCTTCTTTACTCAACTTTGATCAACAACCTAATATTCAGAACTTCTGGTAATAAATCTTTTGTGTTTCTTGTGTTTGTCTCACACAGGGCAACACAACTATCTGTGTGCCGGGAGGAACGACTGCATCATCGACAAGATCCGCAGGAAGAACTGTCCGGCCTGCCGCTTCAGGAAGTGTCTGCAGGCGGGAATGAACCTGGAAGGTGAACACAGGGCTTTAGACACTTCTTAGTAGGATTTACAAACTGTAGCAACAAAATATAATAGATTTCACATAACAAAATATTATTACAAGTTTAAAATGATTATGCTGTCCTTGAGTAAAATCAGCAAAAGCCAATTTACTTTTTATAAACATGTCTCTATAGGACTCAGTTTCCCTTAGGTTTGATTTATCATACGAGCTGTTTTATTGACAACTACTGATTATGGCCGATATTACTCAGAGCCATGTAATATCGGCCATAATAAGAGTTTACATTTCCTGAGGCAGTCTGAACTGAGTCACATGAGTCAGAGTGTTTATGAGAAGCCCTCCCTTTATTCATCATTAATAGTTCCTGCCCAGAGCCAAGGAGAAAACTGCTTTGCCTTAAAGATACACCTAGAACATCACTCCTATTATGGGTTAGAGTTTGAATATGTTTTAATGAGGTACGGTTGACTCATGATGATCAAAGCACTCTTGCTCAATACAAAAATTGAAGTTATTATTTATTTTTTCCTAAATAATAGCTATAACAATTGTCTCAACAGAAAGGAAAGCTTATTAGAATAGAAAGAGAAAGAAAGATCCCTGTGAGTCACATTTGATAGTTTTGGCTGAGAGCGGATTGGTTATTTTTTCTGAAAAAGCGGATCTAGGCCAAAACACGCATAACAAAACTAGTCATAGAAGCAAAAAGAGAGAGCGAGTTTGATGGATTTATTTCTAAGTTCCTTGTTTTTGGTTTAAAAGTTAGGTTTGATTATACCTACAAAATCATTCCAATTGGGTCATGATGAAGCCTCGAGAATAGAAAGTGTATGTAATAATATAGTTGTATAGTTTGTTTAAAGTTCATTTAGAATTATGAATGTTTTATGAATGGATTTTCAAGACAAAACAAGATAAACTAAAATATTAGTTTTTATACATTAGACATTACTTTAAACCCAAATGTAGTGGAATAAGAAAACTCCCTTTAACCCACCTCAGAGTCAGATTATATTTAACTACAAAAAAATTAGCTACTTCCTGCTTTTTAATGCAACAGATTTAACTCAAACATAAACTCATAGTCAAGTGTGCATTACTGCATGTCAAATCTCAGCCAAGTCTCAAATGTGTCAGCAAGTTTTGTAAATCCGATCACTATCTGATTTCTGAAAAAATTCGATCATGAAATGTCAGGAAATAAAACGCATCAGACGTGACGTGGGTTCTTTCTGTGCAGGATTTGACACAGAAAGTTATTCAGAAAAGGACAAAGCCATGTGACGAATACGAACCTTGTTCTTTTTCCGCATCGTTATGGCATTGACTTTAAATATTGCAAATTTGTAAATGCCAGGTGAAGGCAGAGGTGACAGTGAGGGTTTGATGGACGTCAGAGCATCAGCCGTGAATCCAGAAAAGCGCTCTTAGTCGCCATAGAAACACCGGGGAGAGGAAATTAGAAAAGCATCAGGGAAGACTTTTTTTTCTTTCTTTAATACAAGCCTCGACCTATTCATAGTGCTGCTTTTAGTCAGATTTATTGTTGTGACACAAAAGCAGAGGTGTTATTTTTTATTCTAATTTAGCTCTTTTTTTACCTGATTGTAGAATTCAAGTGTTGCTGTTGAATTTTTTTTTGTTGCAAAGCCTCTCTAGCCTGATATCATCATAGAAGGTCTATTATTTTCTATAATCATCAAAAGCAGACATTGTGTAAAACAGATGTATAATTGACCAACATTATTTATCATTATTTGTCAAATTATTGAGATAATTATTGAGGTAATTTTTTTATTTCAAATATGAATTAACATGTGTTTCAACTGCTGAAACAAAGAGAAAGAGGACTATTGAAAAAAAAAAAAGTGAAATATGTATGGAAATGTTAGTAGGTAGCCCAGTCGCTGTATAGAAAGTGTCCCAGATTCAAGCGCTCATGTAGTAGCTCTGCTTTTTTAGTACCGACATCTTTCTTAATGGTACAAAACGATCAATTGGACACACATAGATAGATAGTGGAAAAGTTTAACCTTCTAAGTAAACAATCATAAAACCATCTCTTTTTGCGTCTTGTTTTGTAGCGAGAAAAAACAAGAAGCTGATAAAGAGAGTCAACCACACGCGGCCTCCGTCCCGGGACCCCACGGCCCACATGACTGTCCCCATCATCCCAATGGGGTTGTCCCAGCTGGTGCCCACCATGCTGTCGGTGCTGAAGGCCATAGAGCCTGAAATCATCTACTCTGGCTACGACAGCACCGTCCCGGACACCTCCTCACGCCTCATGACCACCCTCAACCGCCTCGGGGGACAGCAGGTCATCTCCGCCGTCAAGTGGGCCAAGTCCCTGCCAGGTAACTACTGCACATACAGCAGTCCATACCGTTTGAGAACACACTTTTTATCTGTCAGCATATCCAAACTAGACAGAGTCAAAGCAAGGAGAACATGCTTGTTGGTCTGGTTCACTTTAACTGGGGCAAAAATGGTTTATTTATAAAACAGCCAAACAAATGAACCTGTATCCACTCCTCACTTAAGTCTGTTTACATGTTTTAAAACAGATCTGTGAAGCATTTTCTCCCCAAGTGAACCAGACATAACCAGTTAACCAGACCATCAAGTGAGAGCATGACCTCACAAACAACAACACAACAACAGCAGCTTTTCATGATGCACATACTGTACATACATGATGCATGCGTAAAACAATAACCAATAAGTTTGTATCAATACTGTCATAAATAGTCATAATTTAAAAGCTCCTATTGTTGGAATAGTTTATAATTGATTTGGATGAGTGATGAGCAATAAAGCTATATAGTAAACCTGTCCGAAATGACACGGGGACGCTCTGGCTTTCATACAGTATGAAACAAGAGCAGTGTCAGTGACTTAAAGATAAGTAGTGTAAAGTCTATGTTATAAGGCTGGGTTAGAGGTTGAGAGAGCAGCACTATGTAGGTCGTCCTCCACTGGACCACTGGTCCTGACGGGTGCCCCAGGTGAAGGATGTGAAAAACACAGGAGACAAATACAAAAAGAATGTATAACCTCAACCTTCAACATTTAACTGCCTTCAAGCCAGGTCAGAGATTGTAAAACGTGTGATAGGATTTTTTTATGCTGTAGTATAAGATACTATATGATTGTCTTGGAACAACCATAGGCAAACACCTGTAGCTAAAGTGACTTGTCGAAGCTAAGTGCTAATTATCCGTACTCTTTATACGTTGGAATAAATTATTATCATAATTCAAGCCAGGCAGCAGCTCAGACATGCGTTTCACTGAACTGGGCTTTTAAGGCTGCCGTACAAAGCACTTTTCAATGTACTTTTCATTTTCTGAAGGCGACAAAAACATTTTTGATATGAAAAGCGTGATATGCATGTGGAGCTCTGCAATCTTATTTCATCAAAACTAAAGACGTCATGTCTGCTCTCTCTTACACACACATTCATTGGTTGTGCATGATATTGTCCTAGTGTACAGACAGTTGGTGAATGTCCAAATCTTGTGACATTATTCTTATGAATTTCCATTTCCTGCTGAAAAATTCAATCATGTTTAATATAAGGAACAATGTGCTAACAAACGTAAATATAATCTAAACATGAACACTGAGACTGTATGTTTACGAATTCTGCGTATTCCTTGATGGCCCATTCCTCCTTAATTTTTCTCTGCGATTGAGCTTAGGGCTTTGTGATGGCCACTCCAAAACATTGACTTTCTCCTGACGCCAATTTGTATCTTCTTTGCGCATAATGCTTGGGATCATTGTCCATTTCAAATACCCATTTCCACCCAATCTTCAATATTTTTTCTCACTGTTCATATCGACATCTATTAAAAGTCTACCAGTTCATCCTGCAACCAATCAGCCCCTGAAAATGAAAATATGTGTTTTTTTACAAATAAAAATTATGGCCGTTATTGTTTCTTTTGGCTTAAGTTTAAGTCTAGTTTATTCAGTACAATGTGCAGTTACATTAAAAAGATGCCTGCACCAGATTTAGCACCATGCTACTTTGCATCTCCATGACAATACAATAATTAAAAATAGATATTAAAATACAGTTAAAATTGTGCAAGTTACCAACGTAGTTAATTCAATTCAATTCAATGTATTATTGCCTTAAATCCCAACAGTAGTTATCTCGGAGGTCTTAATGAAACCGTCAAATTCGCCAACACAGATCAGAGAATCAAACAGTTCAAACACAAAAAATAAAACATAAAACACATTGATTTTGGTCCACAATTGACAATGTACAAAATACAATGAGATTACAATTAAGCAGAAAATCGAGAATTTGCAAATTACATGTATAAGGTGCAATACAAAGTTACCGTACAGTGCGCTTCTTCCTTGCAGTTTCAGCTAACTTAGCTTTTGTTCTGAGATTGATTTGAGCTCTAAAATATGCTCATCTCTGCAACACAGCATCTCTCCTGAGTGGTATATGACCGCTGGACGTGCTCCCACAGCTGGCACCTTTAACCATTGTACACAAGAATGAACCAGACTTCCACAATTCTCTTCCTAATATCTTCACTGGTTTAATTTGTCCATGTTGCAAAGAAAACAGTGTCCTTCAGATGTCTGCTTAAAATAGATCTATGTGATGCCTCTGATTAACTTTCAAGTCAGAAGTTTCCAAATTACATTATAATTTGGGCTTTCCCACACTGTTAAAATATATGATACAAACTGTGAGTGCAAACTTTTGACTCTGTAGTAAGTAATAGTTGACTATTAAACAAAAAAATAAAACTAAATGTAATCTAATAAATAAATCTTTCAATGTTGTGAAATCAATATACATTTTCTTTTCTAAAGGAAGAGAATGTTTCATAATTCATTTCAGACATAGAGAAACTCGTATGAAAACTTCCGGTTTCCACTGTATTTGTTTGTCTTCCTTTCTTTAGTTTGAATGACTATAGAATACAGGCTGCACTTCACTGCTCATATCCAGTCCCATGGGCCATACCATTCTTTTCCGCCGGAGAATTCCCACCGGGTCCAAGTAATAAAAGCCGCTGCTTTACGTGCCTCTCCTCAGATATGTAAGCAGCTTCCCTCACTGCTGCACTTTCTGTTCAGGCTTTTGTTGAGGTTTTCAAAGCAAGGCCTATGATTCAAAGTTGAACACATATGAATAGAGTTTACCTACAGATTATTGATACAAATGTGAGAGAAGCCTGTGTAAAGCTTGTCGTCATGAAATTAGTGTTCCGAGGTAGAGGCGGCAGTCTCGAAATCTCTACCCAAACTTGTGTCTGTGTGTGTATCAGAGCAGAGACATGTCTGTACTCACCCAAGTACAAAAGCATGTGTTTATATCTGCTGTGCCAAGTCCATTTTCAACAAGTTAAGCGCAAGTACAGGTGGTCCGGGAGTGCACTGCAGACACAGAAACTCAAAGAGGTGGGAGCTTCTATTCTTGCATCAGGAGGACCATAGACCGTATTATAGATGCACAATGTTAAACCAAGTGCTCATAGACAAAGTTTTGCTCCCATTTGCTCTAGGTCCTTTTGACTTACATTGAAAACTAAACTCCTCTAGCTCAGTCTCAGTTTTTGTCACACTCACCATTTTGGAAATTTAAATGTTGATATGTCTTTGGTCAATCCTGACTCATATAAGGATGGACCAATCAGTGGCCTTCATTCACGGGAGAACCTCCACCATCTAGCAACACGTCTGCCCCTGTCCTGACACAAAGCTCACAGCGTCGGAAAAAATGCCCATATAAGGAAATTGGCTCCAACTAGCTTATGTTCAAATCGGCTTCTTCTGCATTCGGCAAACATATGATGACTTCAGCACTCGGTCTGTCCACTCTTAATGTACGGCCTGTGTTCGAGACCCTATCACAAAGCCCTATTCCACAGGAAAACCCATCTGCAGGTATCTCCTGTGTTTCCGCCTGTGAAGTTTGTTTATTTTTGAAGGGTGTGCTGAATTTACAGGCAAAACATTCATAAATAATACTTTTATGTTGGTATTATTATTGGTACAAGTTGTGACATCCTATATAACAATCCCACATGAAACAGCATGTTCTTTACTTTTATGTGAACAATACCTCATGACTCATTCATATCGTAAGTCTATTTTCCTCATTCTCGTTGTAAGCAAACCAGTTCCTCATATTAAAGTGGGAATCTATTTCTGCTGTGAGAAACTCTCTCTGCTACACTTCCTTTCGAGTTGGTAGCTTTGGTCTCGAGGTTAAATCAGGCCATGTTTGGAGGCTGGACGGCTGCCAAGGCGCTGGTGAGGGCTGGTTCTGCACAGGAAAAGGCACTTACGTAACAGCGGCCTGGAAACGAAAGACAAATGCTAATGAGTTCTGCTAATGTGCTGAGACAATGACTGCACCGTTTAAGCAGCGGTGACAAGACACCGCTTTTAGTCGCTGTTTGTCCCTTTTACATAATTCACTGCTTTTATAACGACGCTCCTCTGTGGTGCTTTTGGTTAATGTTTGTTTGAGGCTGTGTTAAATACTCTTTGGCAGCAATCTTCTGTTATTTTTAGAACTGTAAGATATTTGATTTTCAACTAAAAGGGAAAATGATTAATCTAATGGAGGATTTTGTATTTGTGTAAATGTCTTTAATCTGTGATAACGTGATGCAAATCCATTATTTTGCTACACGATTACAAATTTAATACTGCTCTGTTTGAGTGCTAGATTCACATTTCACCACCTTCATGCTGTGAGGTCTGTATATAAAGCACTTTACAATGATTTGACAGATATTGACAAATGTAATCCTTGTTTTTTTAGCTTTTAATTTTGTCTCAACAAAAAATACCTGGATCAGTTTTGAGCTTAATTCATTCGGATATAAGTGCTTCTGGGGGAGGGAGATTTATGAGAACTGGGGGATGGAGACTTATGAGACCTGGGGGATGAAGACGTCTGATTCGGGCAAGAAGAGGAGATTTTAACCTTATTATCTTGTGAAATATCTAACAGAAAACACATTTATTTGAGAAAAGTTTTGATTGAATACTTTGAGGAGCTGTATCTGTATTCTTTCTTTTAACCTTGTCACAACAAAAATATACCTCCTTTCATTCTAATATAAGCTCTTCTGGCACTTCAATTTGGCACAAACAAGGCCCCTTTGTCCCCTCTGTCCAAAATACTCTATTTTTTTTTATTTTCAATTTTTGTTTGCTTTGAATCTGACGACTATGAGGTCAAGGATAGAGCAATTTTATTGTTTATTTTTTTTGCCTTTTTTGCTTTGTCCAACTCCTTTTCAAACTATTTTTCAAATTCAACTTCTTCATGTTTGTTTTATGTCATGCTGTGTGAAAAGTACAAGTTTGAAATCACTACTTACTTACTCAAGACCAAAGTTTATGAAATGCCTCAAGTCAAATTTAAGTCTTGTACAATATAATTTCCCAGGTCTACCACGAGATCAGTCCTTCTAGTCATCTCTTACTCCATTTCTCGTGCTAAGCCATATGAAATGATTACATACATTTAGCCTATACAGTTTAATGCTTAATATCTGTGATGTATAATGTATTGCAGTGATGCCTTTGTTGTAAGCACATGTGGCTGTGTCCCCTGCAGGCTTCCGTAACCTGCACCTGGACGACCAGATGACGCTGCTGCAGTGCTCGTGGCTGTTCCTCATGTCGTTCAGTTTGGGCTGGAGGTCGTATGAGCAGTGCAACGGCAGCATGCTGTGCTTTGCCCCTGACCTCGTCATCAACAAGTGAGTGCTGCTAAAGTCCCTGTTTGAAGAATTTATATTGTGTTTTCAGTCTCTCGCTCTGAAACGGTATCACATATTTATTAAGAGATCCTTTATTCATACCACAGTGGGGAGATTTAAGTTGTTGTGTTCATGTGACATCACAACATTCCAAAGAACGTATAGTTAATGTGGTGGGGGGGGAGATAAACTCTTTCCTTATAACTGTGGTAACTGTCAAAAGCCAGACTTTGGGGGGCAATCCACAAGTAACAAGAAATCTTCTTTGTGAGTACATACCAAATCAACTATGCTCGAATGGTTATTATTCACATAAAAGTGTCCAGAAGTGTTGACAGTATCCAAAGAATGTATGCATGATGTTATCCAGTAGAGAGGACCGTCAGACTTAACAATAATCTAGTGGGGTTGTGAATCTAATCTCTTAACGAAAGATCTGGTAGAACATTTGAGCATTTTCATCCATCCATCCATCCATTTTCTTCCGCTTTATCCGTTGCCGGGTCGCTGGGGCAGCAGTCTAAGCAGAGACGCCCAGACTTCCCTATCCACACACACTTCCTCCAGAACACCTCCCCAGGGAGGCGTCCAGGAGGCATCCGGAACAGATGCCCGAGCCACCTCAACTGGTTCCTCTCGACGTGGAGAAGCAGCGGCTCAACTCCGAGCTCCTCCCGTGTGACTGAGCTCCTCACCCTATCTCTAAGGGAGCGCCCAGCCACTCTGCGGAGGAAGCTCATTTCGACCGCTTGTATCCGCGATCTCGTTCTTTCGGTCATTACCCAAAGCTCATGACCATAAGTGAGGGAGGGAACGAAGATTGACCGGTAAATCGAGAGCTTTGCCTTTCGGCTCAGCTCCCTCTTTACCACAACGGTCCGATACAGCGGCCGCATCACTGCGCACGCTGCACCGATCCGCCTGTCAATCTCACGCTCCATTCTTCCCTCACTCGTGAACAAGACACCGAGATACTTGAACTCCTCCACTTGAGGAAGGACCTCTCCACCCACCTGTAGAGGGCAAGGCACCTTTTTCCGGTCGAGCACCATGGCCTCAGATTTGGAGGTGCTGATTCTCATCCCAGCCGCTTCACACTCTGCTGCAAACCGCCCCAGTGCATGCTGCAGGTCCTGGTTCGTTGGAGCCAGCAAGACAACATCGTCCGCAAACAGCAGAGATGAAATCCTGTGGTCTCCGAACCGGACCCCCTCCGACCCTTGGCTGCGCCTAGAAATTCTGTCCATAAATACAGTGAACAGAACCGGTGACAAAGGGCAGCCCTGTCGGAGGCCAACATTCACCGGGAACAGGTCTGACTTACTGCCGGCAATGCAAACACAGCTCTGGCTCCGGTCATACAGGGATCGGATGGCCCTCAGCAGAGGACCTCCGACCCCGTACTCCCGGAGAACCCAAAGGACACCCCGGGGAACACAGTCGAACGCCTTCTCCAAATCCACAAAGCACATGTGGACAGGTTGGGCGAACTCCCATGAACCCTCGAGTATCCGATGGAGAGTATGGTCCAGTGTTCCGCGACCGGGACGAAAACCACACTGCTCCTCCTGGATCCGAGATTCGACCATCGGCCGTAGCCTCCTCTCCAGTACCTTGGAGTAGACCTTACCGGGGAGGCTGAGGAGTGTGATCCCACGATAATTGGAACACACCCTCCGGTCCCCCTTCTTGTAGAGAGGGACCACCACCCCGGTCTGCCACTCCATTGGCACCGCCCCCGATCGCCACGCGATGTTGCAGAGACGTGTCAGCCAAGACAGTCCTACAACATCCAGAGACTTTAGATAATCAGGGCGGATCTTATCCACACCCGGAGCCTTGCCACCATGGAGGCTGCCAACCACCTTGGTGACCTCAGCCAGGGAGATGGATGTATCCGCCCCAACATCCTCAGCCTCTGCCTCTGTAACAGAGGACGTGACAGGAGGATTGAGGAGAACCTCAAAGTATTCCTTCCACCGCCCGACAATATCCCCAGTCGAGGTCAGCAGCTCTCCACCCGCACCGTACATGGTGTTGGCAAAGAACTGCTTCCCCCTCCTGAGGCGCCGGATGGTTTGCCAGAATCTCTTCGAGACCGACCGATAGTCATGCTCCATGGACTCTCCGAACTCCTCCCAGTCCCGGGTTTTAGCCTCTGCAACAGCCCGGGCCGCGGCACGCTTTGCCTGCCGGTACTGGACAGCTGCCTCAGGAGGCCCCCGAACCATCATGGCTCGATAGGACTCCTTCTTCAGCCTGACAGCATCCCTTACTGCCGGTGTCCACCACCGGGTTCGGGGGCAGCCGCCGGGACCAGCACCAGAGACCTTGCAACCACAGCTACGAGCCGCCGCATCGGCGATTGAGGCAGAGAACATGTCCACTCGGACTCCATGTCCCCCTCCTCCGTCGGGACCTGGGAGAAACTCTCCCGGAGGTGTGAGTTGAAAGTCCGTCTGACAAGGGGCTCAGCGAGACGTTCCCAGCAGACCCTCACTATACGCTTGGGTCTGCCAGGTCTGACCGGCTTCTTCCCCTGCCAGCGGATCCAACTCACGACCAGGTGATGATCGGTTGACAGCTCCGCCCCTCTCTTTACCCGAGTGTCCGAGACACGCGGTCGAAGGTCAGATGATACGACAACAAAGTCAATCATCGACCTCCGGCCTAGGGTGTCCTGGTACCACGTGCACTGGTGGACACCCTTGTGCTCGAACATGGTGTTTGTGATGGACAAACTGTGACTGGCACAGAAGTCCAACAACTGAACACCGCTCGGGTTCAGATCAGGGGGGCCGTTCTTCCCGATCACCCCTCTCCAAGTGTCACTGGCGTTTCCCACATGGGCGTTGAAGTCCCCCAGGAGAATAACGGAGTCCCCGGGCGGTGCACCGTCCAGTACCCCTCCCAAGGACTCCAAGAAGGCCGGGTACTCTGCACTGCTGTTAGGCCCGTAGGCCGTCACAACAATGAGAGACTTGTCCCCCACCCGGAGGCGGAGGGACGCGACCCTCTCATTCACCGGGGAGAACTCCAACACGTGGCGGCTGAGATGGGGGGCAATGAGAATGGCCACCTTCGACTGCCGCCCAGTCCTCTCAGCACCGCGCCACCACGGACCCCTCTGCAGGTGGTGGGCCCACAGGAGGGACTGAGCATTTTCAATTTCAACATTTCTTAAAACAATTGCTTTTCTCGTTGGCTTGTATTGCCATCTGCCCTGGAACCCCTGATTTAAAACCATTATACCTCACAACATTCACCCTCTCTCTGAGCGAAAATCATTTTCTTCCATTTGCTGATTCCTCTGTCGCTTCTTGTGTACAGTCTGAAGTACAGTGTTAAGCTCTACTTAAGAAAGCCTCTTGCGGTGTTGTCCCAACAACAACAAAAAAGTTTATCACAAGCTGATGCAAACACACATATGAAAGCTATTATTATGAAAAAATATAGATTAATTTTACCGTTGCAAATAAATACCACAGAGGCCACACAGGAGGTGCCCCCAGTCTCTCCTTTGCTTTTTAATTAGCAGTCCTCGTTTTTAATGGGACTCTGCTACTGCCAATCAGCTATGTTTTTTTAATGCAGTAATTGCACTGTATTTCAAAGTGCATGTTTGCTAAATACAATTCTCCATGGGCTCGCTCCTCAATACCCATTGAGGGCTTGCAAATACAGATGTGCTCCCATGGCATGTTGCACCTCATTATACTGCTATTCCATCAATATCAGACAAATAGTATATAACTTCTAAAATGTCCAATTGCTACCTAACACATTTGCATTAGTAGCAACCCTCTGTATATTTGCTGAATCAAATTCACCTGGGCCATTTAAGTCAGCTAATCAGCAAAGGCCATAGAAGTAAGCAAGTAATATGTATTTCTGTCGCTTTTCTCACCTAGACCAAGGTCACACGCAATTCAGTGTATTATTTATCCTCTTTACTCTCAGCGATGAAAGATGTGGTAGTGCCGCTGCAGACCTTCCAGCCATTCCTAAAGTACATGTTTTTAGTTGTAGGAGAAACCGGAGCTCACGGAGGAAACCTATGCAACTATACTGCAACAGCTAACCACTGCGCCACTGCACTGCCCGTATTATGCAACAACAATAAAACTGGAAAATATACATATAATTCTTGTTCAAATAGATTCAATACAAAAAAGCTCTCCATGTGATTTACACAATAGCAGCCACTCGATGATAATTATGGTTCTCTGTGAATGCATCGGCGAGAGACAATGTTGAACTGTTGACTGTTGATTCCAATATTTCAGATCTCAATTTGAACCAGCCCTATATGATTCTGATACCAAGAAGGAACAGATAGTATTAATTACAGCCACTGGATTACAAATTGCATGTTTTTGAACAATTATTTATCCTGTAAGTAACAAGTACGAATCAAAACTCTATGACTTAAGCTTAATATCAGCCAGTTCATTACAACAATGGAAGGACCCAGATTTACCGATATCATAAAACAGATAACTATAAACTAAATGCGATTGATATTTTTGCGTACATGTTGCCAGAAAATGTCCCAACTCATTTTATATTTTTATACAGGAAAAAACTATTGAAAAAACAATCTCAGTAGTCCTACAACAACTACCAATTCAAGTTAAGAAAGATGTGGAAATATTGAATTCAATTTAATCAATGAAAAGGTCAATAAACACAAAAGCAACCACGGCAACTATTGTTACTGCTATACTGTGTGTCTTGTTAACTTTCAGATTTCACTGATCTTATATATAGTTTTTTTATTTCCCCATAGATCCCAATTGCAGGCAGTGAGGTAAAAATAAACACCACTGATGGCTGGTCAAATTGAATTCACACCTTAAACCTGGGGCTATCCGGCATGTGAACGCTATTGATTGATTGATTTTTTTAGAGGAAGAAGGCTTTTTGGTTGTGTGTGTGTGTGTCCATCCGAGCCGATAACTGAGCCTGGTTTATTCCAACTGTGCGGTACCACATCCCTGCTGAGGCTGTTTACCCTGAGCTGAAAAACAGGAAGGCCAAGAGCTTTAAAGGTTTTACAAAGTGCCGCTCTTGTGTCAAAAACTGTGATTTTATAACATTTCATACTGAGAACCGCTGTAGAAGAGATGTGGCTGGGAAAAATACACAGAGGACTGGAGAAATACTTTAGGAGTTATACAGAGAGATCGAGAGCAATTACCATGGATGGATGGATGGAGCAATTCAGGTGTTTAGCAGCAGAAACACAGCCATCCATCTAAACACATAATTCTAAAAACTACCAAGCAGGACAGGCCACAGCAGCACATTCAAAGGTAAACCATACAAACTGAAATACAAGAGTCATCACAACACCAAATCATTATCTACTGTATGTTTGCAGTTGCTTAGACCCTGTCCAAACAAAGACAATTTCAGATTTCAAAATGCAGCTATCGTTCACGTAGAGCCGGTGAATCCGCAAACTCTAAATGAATGATTTCAAAACCTGGTCCCAGAGTGCCTACGTTTAAGAGTTTGATGGCATCATGTTGAATTTGAGTTGCACTTATAGCTTTTTGCTTACTGCTAAAGCAATAAGTGCAACTCAAATTCAACAGGATGCCATCGCCTTTTATTGCTGTGGTCATTCTGTGTCCTGCGCTGACCTGAAATATGATGTTTACTGCAGAACAAAGCCTCTCCGCTGCCTCACGAGTCCTGAAGAAAATATAGAAATATATCCGCCACAGAGTTATTCATATCTGAAACAAAATCCTCTTTTCTTCGCCTGCTGTGTAGTAAGAGTTTAAGCTGTTAGCACCGCGATAATGCTGTTGTTTTAGGGTTTTTTTGTTAGCGTGGGTGGGGAGTGGGGTAGGCTGCATGTTTACAGTATTTGCCTGATTAGTGTTTTACTCACTTTGCCACCATCAGGCTTTGCATGTACTGTATATTACAATTCTTAACAATAGCAATTTGGACAATTCGTTTTTCAGCTTTGTGTGGACGGAAACATTCATAGAGACGGTTCCATCAGTACGCAATAGGGTTTCAAAACTATACGCTGTTTTACCTTTTGTCTGTAAATGGTATTCATATTTTAAAACAGTTTACATGCAAGTTGAGCAGAAATGTTCATAATGTGTGCTTATTCAAACTGGGCTCATTGTTTTCTCAGTATTAGCTAATAATGTCAAAAGACTAATTGATTTTAAAACCCTTTTGCTCAAGAAAAATCCATCAGCACCCTGTTGTCTTCCAAACTTTATTATGCAGCTTGTTCCTTATTTCATGACTGTTCGGATTGTCTGGTGCCTAATCTTCTATTCTATTATAAATTACATTCTGCTGTATTTAACCTTGATCTCTCTTCTTAGGGCGCTGTCAGCACACCTGACAAATGCACACACATTCAAGTTAGCCTCCGATAATAGAGCCTTTGTTTTTTTGATTGATCAATATGTGGTAGAAATAACAACATCATCCTCATAAAAGAATAACTGGAGCCAAAAAATTGTCAAAACCAGAGCGTGTTCATTCTAATTGGTCTGGAGGTCAAATGCACCTGTCTTCGTGACATTGGTTTCGAATGCAGTGAGCCGACTGAAGTGCCTCGTTCACTTCCATCCGACCAAGTCCAGGAAATCTCCCACGTGACGTCTCACCCCAAAGTCCGTGACCGCCAGTTTGTGAATCCTTTTTTTTGTGTGCCTTCAGAGAGCGGATGAAGCTGCCGTTCATGAGCGAGCAGTGTGAGCAGATGCTGAAGATCTGTAATGAGTTTGTGCGGCTGCAGGTGTCGTACGAGGAATACTTGTGTATGAAGGTGCTGCTGCTGCTGAGTACAGGTGGGTCACTGCTTTTTTCACAGTTTTCTGAATACTGCCTTTAGATTCAAACTTCAGTTTTTAACCACATTGGAATACATAGCCGGGGTTCCTCAGCCTCGCAGCTCGGAGGCAAAAGTTTTTCTCTTTCCTTGCGTCCGCCATGTAGTCACAAAAGGGACCTTGCTTTCGCTGTCAGATGTGTTTGTTCAAAGGTGTTCTGCTTATTATCGGATTTGAGTCACTTTAGTTTTTGTCAATTGGCCTCAAGCTTTTGTGGATTTGATAGCGCAAATTCCGGTTGGATACGCATCTCTAAATGTCTCCCGTCAAGTATTCAATTTATTTTTGTAGATCACATCAGTGGTCGTCTCTCGGAGGACTTTACAAAGCTATGGATTCACCAACAACAGATCAAATAATAAAACAGTTTGAAAGCAGGAAATGCAATGATAAGAAATTCCTAGGAGACATTGGTCCATAAGGAGCAGATGACCATTGTCCATAAATGTCCATAAATGTCCTTAGACTCTCTTGCATCTGAAAGGGACAACTCAAAAAAAGACAAAAAAAACAGTGGATGACCAATGTCCATCATCACGTGTGGCTACTTTAGGATACGTAAATACATCAAACAACACTTTCACACAAAAAGTAAAATCTCAATTTTATTTCCTGCTTTGAACGATTTTGATTTTAAATTGATTTTCATTAAAGTCACCGAAGACAGACTTTGTCCTTAAACATATTTGTTGATCTTTCCACTCAATATTCAAGTTTCAAAACTATTATAACAATAGGTATAATAAAAGTCTTGCGCTGACTGTGCTGATATGGCGAGTACCACTCATGTGCTGCTGGAACTCTCACAATAACATGTCTTTTATATCTCAGAGCTGAAAGACGGAGTGAGGCTAGTCTTCTCTTTTTCACTTTTCTGTTCAAAAAAGCTGATTAAAAGATGAGAGGGGCCAAAAACAGATGCATGTAAAAACTAGTGATAGAACCTTCAGGTTCAGAGTCACATGGATTTTATGACTTACTTGTGGTTACAAAGATAGGTACTGCCAGTTTAATAGTTTTTTAAAGATATTTAAAGACATCATACTTCCACAGTTTGTCATAAATCATTGTTGAGTAACAATTATTTCAGTTCCTTGGTGTTTTTTTTTCTATTGATAAAGAAACAGAAAAACAAATATTTTGGGTTAATTATATTGATATTTAATTTAACAGCCATTTTGTGCCAATTGCTCCCACTGTAAGATAAGAAGATAAACTTTATGGACTGTCCCAGCAGGTGGCACACGGTCTTCCTCACAAGTCCTCACACATCACACATTTCAAACACATCACAAATTAAAATAATCATAAAAATGTTGCTATGTTTCCTTACTCTGAACCTTTTTAATTGCAAGAAAACAAGTGCTGAAGTAGAAACAAGATCTTACATTTAAATCGGGCTTGTGTCACCTTTACCAACGTGTGAAAGGTGTTTAAAGCTACTGGTAATTGGCTAAAACATTCTTGGAACGTTGCTAAGAATCCGTCAAACTGGGTCAAATCAGTGACACCACCAAGATGGAAGCATGCTTTTTATTGCTCTTGTAATATTATCAATTTAATTTAACTTATTATCATATTGCCCTAAATTGTATTACTATTGTTAGTAACTTTTATAATTAAGTTTTAATTATATTTTGTCTGTATGGATGGATGTGTTTCTACTGCTGGACATCTGACTTTTGCCTACGGGGGATCAATAAAGTATCTAAATCACAACAGTAGTTATCTCGAAAGACTTTACAAAGCCATCGATTCGCCAACACAGATCAGAGAATCAAAGCGTTCAAACACAAGAAATGCAGTTGTAAAAAACACATAGAGCCATGACCAATGTCCAACAATATCATTTTACAATTATCCACCGCATAAAGTTATGTAAAGACACACATATAACGCAATCTTGTTATTTGTTTTATTTATTTTTTGTATACCCCGTTAACTTTGGCTTTTTGGTGTTTGTAATATCACAGATTAATTAAACTTGGAGTACCTTTCTTTGAATCCACAAAACTATGTGATAAACTCCATGTAATTCCTAGCTCTCACAAAACATACACTAATTTTTCTAATTAAGGCGGCTTTGTGTCATCTAATTTGTTCCCAAAATTGTTAGGGTTGCACAAGGCTCTGTCTGTTGGAACAAACATGTTGTATTTATGAAAAACAAAATTATGATTTATATTTGAAATAGGTTTGTGTAAGCTCTCAGGTAAGGCAAGGCAAGTTTATTTGTATAGCACAATTCATACACAAGGCAAGTACAGATGATGGGTGAGAAACCTTCCTTTGCTATATTTGAAATGGTTTCTCTGGCATAACAACGTCAAGATTAGCCACTAAATGAAACAGATCAGATTGATTTATATTTCAACCCACTGCACCGGCACACCTATTTTATTTTTGCAATTTAAACTCCTGAATCACTTTTAGACAGATGATTTGAAGCACGGGAATGCGTTGGCTTTCATCCCCATTACATTAATATTCTTTCATTGAACCTGTTGACACTTGTCGCTTACAGTTACGGTATTAAACTTCAGAGGCTCAATACTTGCCTCCATATAGCATGAAATAAAGTTGAAATGACAGATCTGGTGGACCGACCTATGTGGAGTTATATTAAGGCTGTATATACTCTTGGTCTGTCTTGGTCCAATAGTGTCACATTTCCAGGGTGCTGTAAATCTTGTGGCACCGCCCAAAACTCTGCTGGAAAATAGAGCGAGGGCTTTTGAGGACAAAGTATATTTTAGTTTATGCAGCCAAGGAACACGTGCGAGGCTTCGTCTGATTCAGCATTTTCGAATATAGCTCCGGCTTATAAGGACCAGAGACAGCGTGGCGTTTGTTGTCAAGGAAAACTGGGGTATTTCCAGCCGTTTAAAGTTCAAAGCATGCACACAAAAAGTTGCCACAGAGAACACCACACATAGATGCACTCACCACAAGATTCATACAAAGATATGTACGTGTGTTTCCTGATTCTATTGTCATTGGAGTTGTCATTACCTCGGGTCAGACGAGGTGAGGTGTGTCACGTACGCACAGACATATACTGTGTTATCCAGGGCTCCCATTCAAGTACTAACCAGGCCCCGACAAGCTTATCTTCTGAGATCTGAGCTCAGGCAGACATGGCCGTCGGTGTTCTTTGGAGAGCAGACTTGTCATAGAAAGAGAAACTACAAACACTGCCATACAGTATATGCCCTTTTTTTTGTGGGCGGGGCTTAAATGGTTGCAGGACGTGAAACATTACATTTGGATTTCATGTACATTTTCTTATTAAAACAACAGTAATATACAAAAGCATTATTTCATTATCACTATTTGGTTGCCAGATTGTGACCGTTTCTGGCAGTTCGTGTGATGATGCTTTATGAATTAAATCTAGCACACTTTATATTCTGTTGTTTAATATTGTACAAGCATAAACATATATCCGCAAGTACTGTAGTAACTTTTCTGTGAAGGAAAAACAACTAGAATGTACTTCATTGTTTCGAGGCACACATAGATTTGCTCCTGTTCCGTCACTTAAAACAACACAATAAGCATTTTTGCGTGGTTAAAAACATAAAAAACATAACTGAAAGTAAGTCATTTCATATTTTCCGCCCCCAGTTAAGCCCCGCCCATACCTGCCAGGTCGGCCACGGAAAGTTTTACACTCTTGTGACCCTTGAAATGTATGCACACATATTTTTTGCATGATTTACTTTTCCACTTACAATATATTTCTCTCCATCTCGCTCATGTTAGAGTTGGACAGACCACAATTTATTCGCATGTATTTTCCATGACATAATCAGGCAACAGACGCTGGCCGCAAACTCGCGTTATTTACTCCTTAAAATAAGATGTTTTTCCTGTCGGCCTGATCCCCAGAATGATGCCGCCCACGACGAGAGAGCAGATAGCATAACCCATTTATCTGATTATGTAAATGGGGCAGTATTTTAGTCTGAAGCTCCCCTCTGTGGATTTCCATAATCTCTATAGGCCACTGACTCCACTCTGCTCAGGCACTACGCCAAACAACTCACAACCTCAACCTTAAGCCTGTTTTGCACTTTTATGGAAAAATCGTTCAAATATGTGATTTCATTTTTGCCTTGTTAATATGAATAACGCATTGTTGTGTCTCAAATCAATCTAGAGTCGGAGAACGTTCGATAGGTTGTAAATGTCTGCTATGTTATATGTTCCGATGCTTCTGCCAGCATAAAGCAACGACAGAAAGTCATAAAGGAGCTTTAGTTTAGCTACACGCCAGATTTTGCATATTTTCCACACAGCGCTGGGTTTGACTCGGCACAAATCTGTTTACGAGAGTTTGTCTGACTTTTGAAATATACTGTGCTTTGTCAGGTGGCCACAGATTGATGGATAGATTAAGATTAAGAGATCATTAACTTGTCCCACAGTGGGTAGATTTCAGTGGTGCATTCCCGGTTACAGAACATTAGGAATGAGGAGCACACAGTAAAAGATAACTGAACAATAAAATATCAAACTTTGGCATAATGAAGAAGCAAGTCTAAAGTCTCCAACTTTAGCATAAGAAAGAGGCAAGAAGTATATATAAAATCTATAGATAGAAAGAGAGATAGATAGATAGATGGATAGAAAGATACTTTTTTGATCCCCATGAGATAAATGCAGGTGTCCAGCAGCAGAAACACACAGCAACATAAATAAAAACATCATTCAAAATGTTACCAACAATAGTAATAAAGTGTTAAAATAAAATGTTTAACTCAGACAGATCTGTTACACATCACAATTTCATACTATGTTCATAAAGTCAAATTTAGCAACGTCATTAACACTAGAACTCCCAGAGTCATTTTGACGGTTCCCATTCAAATGAATGGAATTCTGAAAAAAAATCCTAAAAAACAGCTTTTTTCACTACTTAGTCAAATTAAGTTCCGGTAATTCATATGGTTTGTATCTTTAATTCATGCTAAAACTGGTGAATATAACTGAAATACAACAAAACTAAACACTAACTGCTGTAAGTAATCAGCGTAGTCAGTGTTGCTATGGTAACTAGCACTTGCTCCGAGCTGAGATTGCTCTGAACCAGTCCAGGACTAGTCTAGGCCCAGTCAAGATAATTTCATAAACTTTATAACATAGAAATAAACTACATGTAGAAATAGTAAAAGCCACAAAGTTGTGAAGACTAAACAACTTCCACAAGCGAAATAATTACACTTCCAAAAACCTAGTGTTAAACCATCAACACCACAGACTTGTCATTTCATACTTTTAAAACATTAAGCTGTAACTGTGTCTTATGATTATTACTTCATAGATTTACCAAAGACTGTTCTGCAGGTAATTTACTGTACTCCTCCTTTGTTTGTGCCTGTGTCCAGTCCCAAAAGACGGTCTGAAATGCCAGGCAGTGTTTGACGAGATCCGCATGACGTACATCAAAGAGCTGGGAAAGGCCATCGTGAAAAGAGAGGAGAACTCCAGTCAGAACTGGCAACGCTTCTACCAGCTCACCAAGCTCCTGGACTCCATGCAGGAGGTCAGGAAGACTTTTTCACTCTATCTATCTATAAATCTGCCCGTCTTTCTTTTGTTTATCTGTATTGAAACTGTCCACACAAATGTTTATCAGCTGTTCAGTATTTTTAGTGTTTACATTTTAAATAATATAAATATAAATAATAACAACAAAATGTACAAACAAAACAATAGAACCTCGCACAGTTGTTTAATCGAAAGGACATTAAAATAAGTGGTGATCCGTAATACACAGAGTTTTTACAGTTTCTAGCTAAACCGCAGCAGGTGGATTGTATCAGTAGTCAGTACCCACACTACAAACTGATACATAATTTCTCTCTCTCTATTTTATGGAAATGCCCCTCATTTGGCTCGACTCTTCCACAGTGTAGTGTAATGATTTTTTATTTTATTTTAAGGCATTGAAAATTAACCTTTTAGGTGTTTGTTTCCAGAAATGCGAGGTGAAACCGACACAAGGTGGAGCCCTGAAACTTCATAAGAGATAGATAATCAGTAACATGAAATCAACTTCTAAAATCAATAACATTAAGAAAATAATTAAGAAAAAAAATGTGTATAGAAAATGTCTGTGGAATATTCTGGAGAATGATGTCAAAGCAAGTGCAAGACGTTATGTTGGATTTAAATTGATTATTATTTTTCTTGTTTAAATATTGAATACATGTCATAGCAAAAATGTACAGTTTAATTGCTATACAGGAGGCACATGCCAGACCTACTGTACCTACACAGCCACAGGGAGAACATGCAAACTCCACACAGAAAGGCCTGGTGGTGGAATCGAACCCAGGGCCTTCTTGCTGTGAAGTGCAAGCGCTAACCACTGCGCCCGCGTGGCTCCCAATATGATGGGAATTTGTTATTGTTGTTTTTTTGTGTGTGTAGTATTTGGCATTCTCACAAACAAATTGCCAGATTGATATAAAAAGCAAACTTCTTAAAGCAAAATCCTTGGCTCTAACTCGCATTCTGTGTGTGTCCGCAGATGGTAGAAGGCCTCCTCCAGATCTGCTTCTACACCTTCATGAATAAAACTCTGTGCGTGGAATTCCCGGAGATGTTGGCGGAAATCATCTCCAACCAGATACCAAAACTCAAAGACGGCAGTGTCAAGCCGCTGCTGTTCCACTCGAAATGACTGCCTTAAACTGTGAAGCGATGCCTTAAATCCAGCCAACCCATTTGTACAATCCCCCTCCTCACCTGTGACATCAGCTTGCGTCTGTGAAAAATAAAAAGCCTTCACCCATCTCCACCCGGACTCTTTGAACCAGCCTTTTTCCATGTCCTTTTTAGCGGATCACGACAACCAGCTTGGATTTGCCCTCCAGGTTGCAACTCGTCCTCCTTTTTTTTGTCCTTTTTTTTAGATGCTTCATGGAGCTAGCTTTGAATGTGTCGCAGCTGGACAAAAACATGGATTTAGCTTGTTGTTTTTTTGTTTTTTGTTTGTTTTTTAAGCCCTCTCCTCACTTTTGCTGCGTCTACAGGATAGCCATCGTTTCCTCGAGTGAAATATCCTCGCCCCAATTTTAGTTCTGAAGACAAGAATATGATTTTCCCATGGACTACTTAGCACCAGGAGGGTGTAATAGTAAAAAAAGAAAGAAAAAAAAATATATATATAGAGAGAGAGAGAGAGAGAGTATATTTAATATTTCCTGTTTGTTTACACCAGTGGGCAGTGGTGTGAATCGTAGAACTGGGTTTCTAGACCAATATAGTTTTTCAAAGGCAGGAGTATTTTTTCATATTCCAAGAGCGAGTTTCTCTCAGTCCACAAAGCTAATGTTTACACAGGATGTATCTGAGAAGGGAAGACCAGTGCCTTTTTTAAGCTGTCCCACCTCCGCATCGCCATCCTCTCAAACGCTGTTTTCACAAAAGAACCTTGACTTATACTTGGCCCTCATGTAAACACGTACAGTAGTCGCTTTTTAGTTTTCCACCCGCCAATTCCTGTTTGGATTCAAGTGGCTTTTCTGTCCGTGCGCGTCCGAATGCACCGATCTTATATAACAATTCCCATGTGTGGTCGAAGCGTACAGTATGTGGTACCAGTTATTATATTAGCGCAACTTTACTCCCTAGAGACGCCGGAGAACGTAATCAAGAGAATGCAAATGATACCACAGGCTTATCATGGTGTTCAACAGAGACTCGCCAAGGCTACGCTCATACAAGATTCTTCATAGCATGTTTTGATAACATTTAAAGAGACAGTACGCCATTTTATTTAATTTTACATTTCATCTACACATTTATGTACAAAACACATTCGGCCTTTTCTTGAACAAAACTTTAAACTGGGGTCATTTTTAATTAAACTTACAATGGACATGATTTGCATAATATTTGTCCAATCACGGAGCAGGAGGAGGCTCTCATTGGGGTTGCCAGTCTGTAAGGTGAAAAAAGTATGCAATACTTGGTACACAAGAGTTCAAACCGTTTTCTAGATCAACTCCAGCAGGTGGATTGCATCAGTAATAACTGCTTAGGAGCCACTGAGAACAACTGGCTCCTAAACACTGAGGATTCTGGCAACGCAGATTGCATACTGTCTCTTTAATTAGGTCAAGCACATAATAAACGCATTCCATCTTTCCGCGTTGAACAGAAAGCGATCATGTTCAGTAATATTTAATTTAATTTTTAATCATTCATAATAATATATATGTATTTAAATTATACTTACAAAGAAATCGAGTCAGTTTCCATGTGATGTTTTGTCTCTTTACTGACACAAACACATGTATAACTCCAAGCATTTTAATGTGGGCAATCTTAGTTAGCCCCCCATGTTTTATCATCATCGAGTGGATATTTATGAAAAAAGAGAAATTGTAATTGTTCTGTACATATATCCGTGCACACAGTTGGTGCAGGTGAATCCTCTTTGTGAACTGACGCTCAGGCTGCGACCGGAAGTGTTTCACTAGTGCCAAAAGTCTTAACAGGTTTAGTAAAGAATTTATTTTTTCAACAGAGAAAGAAAAAAATTACCAATATTATCAACGGTGATTGTCAAGCTTCAGGTTGTTCCAGTTTCTGTGTAATATAGCAGATGGACTCTTGTATTTTTGGATCTGAAGGTGATTTAATTTTTGGATTTGAAGGTGATTTAAAAAAAATAAAAAAAAACGCCTATACCTTTCACCAGCTTTTGTGATGGCCAAAGCATTCATAGTGCGGTGACTTGCGAGCACACACCTAAAGGAGAATACGTTTTGTTATGTATATATTTATACATATACAGAACTGCCAACATTACAGCTGTTTAATGTTAAAGCTGGGGTACCTAACTTAAAAAATAAAAAAAATAATTAAATCATATATTTTACTGCCGCAGTCACATCTTTAGACCTTTTTGAATCTTAGTGAAGGAGGACAGTTAAATCAATGTTGAGGCACCTTAAGAATTTGAATCCATTTCGACCAATCATGAAGCAGCAGGAGTGAGAAGGGGCGTGACTTAACCAGCGTCGTTCCACTCTCTCTTCAGTTTAAAAAGTAACTGACATTCACTTGAACACTCTTTCTTTTGGGATGATAATAGTGCTCATCATGAAGTAATAATTATGAAGAACAAGAATTAGGGACCCCAGCTTTAATCTGAGACTGGTTTTCCTTTGCGGCGGCAGATAACACAGCGAGGGCTTTTTGTACGCTTAAACAAAAAAGGTCGCCCTTCCTGATATGAACCACTATTTTATAATCGACCATATTTCACCAACGGCGATTCTGGCCGTTGTTTCTTCACAGTATTTCAGTTAACAATGGTGGTGCTTGATGAAAAAAATACCAGCTTTAACATACGTACTCATATCACGCTTGTTTCTCGAAGGCCATACTTGTAAATAGTGTTTAGCTTCTATACGCAGCGTGGACATACCAGCGCAGTCGATGTCTGTTATATGAATACAATGTTTTTTACATGGTCATTTACGATAGTTAATCTACGCTTTTTACACATTATACAATCTACAAGGCCTTGAAGAAAGGGAGACACACAGCCATATAAAGAATTCTGTCAAAATCAGGAAACCACCTTCAATATGAATGCTTTTCATTTACAACAGATTTCTGCCATTTTTTTTCTTTTGATATGAATAATTTTGTATATTATTAAAGTGAATAGATTCTTGTTTCTGTCTGCGTGTGTGTGTGTGTGTGTGTGTTTGCGTGTGAGCATGTGCGTTTGTGTGTGTGTAAAGATTGTTTAAAGTAGGAACATTTTGATTTAAAAGAATAAAATTGAATAAAAAGTAGTCGTTGTATTGTGGGAAATTGTACATGGTGTTTTGAAAGAGGCGGGTAAATGAGAAAGGACGGACTGATGGTTATTTTATCAGAGTGACCAAAGCAGAAGAGGGCATACTTTTAAGAAAAATACATGTAGCACTTAAAAACAAATGATAGTAGTTTTCATTCTTTTCTTTTTTTATCTTGTATTGCTGTGAGGATTTACTGGTCACAAAAAAAATATTGTGGTGTAAGTAAATCTAGCCGGACGGAATTGCACTACCCTCACACTGGCGGATAAAGTCTATTTTGTATTAAAGTATAAAGAAACATGCAAAGATTATCTTTAAAGTTCTAAGGGCAGATCATGTTCACTGGTGTATTATGGCTATGGCTTTCACTGAAGTCTGTTTTGTTCGTATTTCAGTTCATGTAAATGTAATCTAATGTAAAGCTCAAAAAATATAAAATGTTTGTTAAAATAGTTTGTATGACTTCTGTATTACATCTCTTCTGTCATTGTCGATATTTTCACCTATTTGATTCAATGTTGAATTAAGCTATCTGTGTTGTTCTTTGATATTGGAGTTAAAGTTTGTGTCGGTAACAACTTCTGGATGATGTTTTCTTCTTTCATTTTCCCCTTTGTTTTTTGTCATCACAAACTGAAAGTGGAAATTTCAGAAAGAACTGATTTCTTTAAGTTCAAACATCTGACACAATAAAGTCCCCCGTTTTTCAAAGCTCAGCTCCAATGTGGCCTTTTCTTTTTCTTATAACGTAAGGCACATATTTGACCAAAGTGCTCTGGCTTTATCTCCCGCTCCTTTACTCTGTTTTCTAGAATTGAATAAAGCAACAGAAGAGAACGATGTTTATGAACAACTACACAGTTTACATTTCAACTTATTTTAACATATTCATGTGGTTAGTGAATTATTGATTCCTTTCACACTCATACACGAGTATAAGTCTGGTGTGTGTGTGTGTGGTTGGTGGTGCTCAGAGGGGTTGGTAGCACCTGCACTGCAAAAAGTGATAAATAATGAGCTAATAAATGCTTAAATGAAGTGTTTTTTTTATCATATTTTGAGTCCTATCTTAAAACAAGATTTGCCAATGGGACAAGACAATTTGTTTTTTAAAGTTTTTTTTTTTTATTCCAAGGGAGATATTTCTTGGATCTTTTTATAGCATCCATCTTGTTTTAAGGCAGTCAAAATGTGCTCATGTTAAGATTCATTTTGTCAAATTTTAGCAATTTTGGACTTACTGTATTTTCCTTCACTTTTTGCAGTGTCTTTGTGTCATGAAAATCACTATTCAAGCACGATGCATTATTATCATGATCACTGCTGTTGCCACAGCTGCCCTGAGACAGACTATCACTGTGTATTTAGAGCACATTTTTGCTGGTGTTAAATTATTGTAAATAATGAGTGAAACACTGACATTGACATGTTTTTTTATTGATAGTATTTTCAAATCACATTTGAAATCATATTTAAGGCTGCATTCAAACTCATGATACAAAATCTTAAACAAAACAAAAATGAATTAAGTTAGGAGTAAGCTAAAATATAACATTTCATACTTAAAATTACACCTTATCAAATGTTTATGTATTTACAAAGTCATTCAACACCTCAAAAATCTGCCATTTCAAAATATAAATAAGATTTGAACAAAGTAGTCTCATTTCACATTTGTCTTACAAATTTCCCACTTGACTTTACTGTTTCAATGTCCCATGTCCCTTTGATAGGAAATGAAAGTAGTCTGTACTTTTACCAAAGCAGACAAAGTTTTATTCAAACTTTCTTTGGACTATAATAAATTAATTCAATGACCAATTACACTATTGATTTTTACAAAAGCAATAAAACATTAAATTCTCCCTAAGTCCTGTTAAACCAAACACCCCCACACACTGCTCTAAATGATACAAGTTAGTGATGCAGAAGACAAAAATCACAATAAAAAGTTGAAGGGACGACTATTTCCATTGTGCCTAAACAGGTTTGACTAATACAGGATTCCAGATCCAGTCACATGTGTTCAGTCTGAAGGAGCCGGTCCTTCTGTGTCTGCGCTGAGCTGTGGCCTCTCGCTGAACCACCCGAGTTCTGCTCCAAGTTCAGTCCTGTCCCAGAGACTTAGCCCCACACTCGGGCATTGACCTGCAGCTGGGAGTGGCACAAAGGGCTGAAATAATACCCAAAGTACAATTGCAATGATTGACGGAAAATGTTTGAGCCCATTGAAAAAAGAATAATCTAAATTTACACTGCAAAAGGTGATGCAAAACAAGTGGGTAAATGTATCCAGTTTGAGCACATTTCGACCGCGTTAAAACAAGATTTGCTAATCGGACAAGCTAAATTATCTTATCTATAAAAAAAGATACAAGAAATTTCTTCCTTGGAATGAGAAAATACAGTAATGGTTCTTGAAATGGCTTGTCCCATTGGCAAATCTTGTTTTAAGACTGTCAGAAAGTACTCAAATTAAGATAAAAACCACTTGATTCAAGCCTTTATTACCTCATATTTTGTCATTTTTTGCAGTGTAGATATTGTTGTAATATATCAAAATCCTTAATAATGTTTATTATTCAATTATGTCCAATCTCTTCATTACTACGCCAGATAAAATATGTATTGTGCAGCTTTAATAACTAACGCAGGGGTCTCAACACAAATTTGTTCTGATTTAAAGCCCATTACTAAAATGTATAAAAATATCGCCCCAGTTTCTTTTTGGCAGATAAAAACAAAGTGTGAGCTGACTCATACAGTCTTCCTTTTGGTTTACATGAAAATGTCCCTTTGGCTGAACATGTCTACAATCACATAAAATCTATAAACTGTGTCTCATCAGAGAATGTTCCAGTGTGGTTTTGACTCTGCATTTCCACGGAAAGACCCAGGCGATTTTACACAGGCGATTTTTACAAAAAGTTATGTACTGCTGCTTTAATAAGAACATTTGGACTGTCTTCAAACAAGATTGTAAGATTTTGGAATGGAAAAAGTATATGTAAAAATGTTTTGTTTTACTTAAGTACACACTAAAACTATACTTTTTGGAAAAATAATACAAACAATCAAATACATGTTCCATTGGTAAATCTTGTTTAAGGACAGTCAAAACCTTCTCAAATCAAAATAAATGTCCCATAGATCAAACCAATATGTTTTTGTTTTACAGTGCTGTTGTGTCGTGTCTTTCCTGTCGGCCTCTGTGTTGTGTAGGTGTTTTCCTGGGGCCCAGAGGAAGGACAGTGCACTTTTCAAAGCAGCTCTTTCATGTCCTCGGTTTTGTCTTATTCCCAGTCCCGCTCACGGTTCTTTTCACTCCGCATCCATTATCACACAGTCCAGCAGTCAGTTTTGGTCTTTTGTTACTTCCAGTGCAAGATACCACGTCTCCTTTACACCTCTTTTGTTCAAAAACAGGGACTTTGGTCCAGTTTTGTACCAATGTCATCGCGGCTCCAGTTTCTCTCTACAAAAACTCCACGTAGTTTTCTGGTATGAGCCCCATCCGTCCGCCCAGGGTCCCCTCCAGCCAGCCCGGCTCCCTGGACGTATGAACTGCAATGGAAGAAGCACACGAGAACTTCTGTTAAATCAACATACATCTAACATAATGGATTAGAACCATAATTATATGGTGATTTTAGCTAAGTGCTAATGACACAGCTTTTAAAAGTATTTACACAACAATCTGGCAACACATAATTGGATGAACGTCCACACACGGTGCTGCTCATAAGTTTCCATACCCTGACCATATTCAGATCTAGCGGTGGTTAGATGAAGACAGTTTCATTTGCATTCTCTTTAAATCATCATTTCAACAGAAACCAAGATCATAAGTTTACACACACTGCTGATTCTTGGCTCTCACGTCGACACAGCTAGGTTAGAATGATCTAGTTAAGTTAAGTTGAATTGTACTTTATCGTCCACGTAGGGAAGTTTGTCCTCTGCTTTGATCCATCCTGTAATGCCACAAGGGTGTTTGTCAGGACCAGTGGTCGCCGTAGTACAGCGTCCAGGGACCCATCTGCAGATGTTTTTATGCTCAGCTCGGTCAGGGCCAGAGTTAGAGGATTGTAAATGTTTTTAGTGGCAGGAGAAGCCGTAGCACCCGGAGGAAACCTACACAGACAAAGGTAGAACATGCACACTGCACTCAGAAAAGCCCTGTCCCTGTTAACCACTCAGCCATCCATTTTCTTCATCTGTATCTGTTGCCGGGTCGTGGAGGCAGCAGTCGGAGCAGAGACTCCCAGACTTCCACACACACTTCCAGCTTTTTCCTGAGGCCTTCCCAGGCCATAGGAAAAACACAAGCAGTGGCTCTATTCTGAGCTTCACACCCCATCTCTAAGGGATGCAGAGAGGAAACTAATTTTGGCCGCTTGATCTTGTCCTTTTGTCATGACTCAAAGCCATCGGTGGAGATGGGAGCGTAGATTGAGTGGTAAATTGAGAGCTTTGCCTTTTCGACTCAGCTCCTTCGCCTCCACTTGATGAAGGACCTGTCCTCCAGATTGAACACATAATAATCATATTCTTCTGGTCCTATTCCTGTGGACCAATGGCTCTTACTGTATGTTTGTTATTATTGCATTTCTGTGTGCAAACTGTGATTTAGGCCTGTACACAATTTAACTGAATTGAATTTGCAGAGCACAGTCTAACACACGTTCAATTCAAATCATTTGTGTATAGCCCTAAATCACAACAGTAGTTATCTCTGAGGACTTTACACAACCGTTGAATTCGCCAACACAGATCAGAGAATCAAACAGTTCAAACACAAGAAATCAAACAGAAAACACATTGGTATTGGTCCATAAGGGGCCGGTGACCAATGTCCATAAGTGTTGATAAATGTCCATAAATGTTGTTGTACTGGATCACCAACACTGGTCAAGCACATTTAAATCAATAATAATTTGTCAAGTGCATATTCAACGCCTCATCCCGTGGTGTTGAGAGAAGACTTGCTTTGAGTCAGTGAACACCACATCCCCCTGTGAGTCCAGATTATCGCATCTGATAACACTTATTTCCTGTTGGTTGGAAGGCATCAGGAGCGGGCCTTGTGAGGGGTGTGGGGACAGCTGGGGTGCTCTGTGTGAAAGGAATGCCTGCTTTTTTTTCCCCAAGGAAAAAAAAGTCTGACGCATCTGATGCCACTGTGTTGCCGTACGTAACCGAGTCTTTACGCTGCAAACACCTTTTAAGGGCTTCAAGGTTTCGCACACAACCAGAGCACATTCAAAACACACTCACCTCCCACACCGACTGTTTCCCACACTGCAAAAAGTATGAAAAATGAGTGAAAAAGTGGCCCGAATTTGTCAAAATCTATCTTCATTTGAGCCCATTCTGACTGCCTTAAAACAAGATTTGCCAATGGGACAAGCAAAAGTATCTTGTTTTAAAAAGATACAAGAAATATCTGCCTTGGAATGAGAAAATAAAGCAACAGTTCTTGAAACGAGACTAAGCGGCTTTGTCCCATTGGCAAATATTGTTTTAAGACAGTCAGAATAAACTCAAATAATTTTGCATCTCAGCAAGAAGGTCCTGGGTTCCAATACCGGGCGGAACAGGACCTTTCTGAGTCAAGTTTGCATGTTCTCCTCGTGTCTGTGCAGGTTTCCTCCAGGTGCTCTGTTTCCTCCTACCACAAAAAACACGTACAATAGGTCTGGATGCGCCTCCTGTGCTGGCGACCTCACTCCCATCTCTGTGTGGAGGGAGAGGCAAATGCCCGCAAAAAAAAACAAATTAAGCTCTGTGACTCTGGTCTGTGAAAGGAGCTATACATATAACTTACGTACAACTTACTTACTGACATACTCATTAGGATAAAGAAAACTACTCAATTCAAGAAATTATTACCATATATTTGTTCATTCTTGCTGTGCCAAGAATTACAGCCTTTTCCAGCTTCCCATTGGTCTCTCTCCAATGAATTAGATTGATTTACACTGTGTGAATTAGATAGAGACTGGTGCATGGTCATACATTTTGGTTTAATAGATAGATAGTTGAATAGATAGATACGTTATTTATCGCCGTAGGAGAAATTCAGGATATAAATGTCACGTTGAGGCCTCATTATTTGACTTTTTATCAACTTTCTAATAAGGTCCTAATCCAGGGCTCACAGTGCATCTCCGTCACCATAATGAGTAAACCATCACTTGTTTACTAAATATGGCGCCACCTGCATGTGAAAACCTGATCTATGACCTCTGAAGCTAAGTGGGACAGGGCCTGGTTAGTACTGTGATGGGAGACCTCTGAGAACACCAGGTGGCACAGTGGGGCGTCTACGGCGGTAAAGTTTCAAACTGTAGTTGTGTTTTTAGGGCAAGACACTTCATTCTCACAGAGCACTCAGGTACTTAGGTAATCAAACTAGACATATTAGTCAAGATAATATAGTAATAAGTTAATAAAACGTAAAAGTTGCACCCGAGCCAAATGCACCCTCGCCAAACTCACCCTAGCCAAACGCACCCTCGCCAAACGGATCCTAGCCAAACGGATCCTAGCCAAACGCACCTTAGCCAAACGCACCCTAGCCAAACTCACCCTAGCCAAACGCACCCTAGCCAAACGGATCCTAGCCAAACGGATCCTAGCCAAACGGATCCTAGCCAAACGGATCCTAGCCAAACGGATCCTAGCCAAACGGATCCTAGCCAAACGGATCCTAGCCAAACGCACCTTAGCCAAACGCACCTTAGCCAAATGCGTCCTAGCCAAACGGATCCTAGCCAAACGGATCCTAGCCAAACGGATCCTAGCCAAACGCACCTTAGCCAAACGCACCCTAGCCAAACTCACCCTAGCCAAACGCACCCTAGCCAAACGCACCCTAGCCAAACGGATCCTAGCCAAACGGATCCTAGCCAAACGGATCCTAGCCAAACGCACCTTAGCCAAATGCGTCCTAGCCAAACGCATCCTAGCCAAATGCACTCTAGCTAAACTCACCCTTGCCAAACGCATCCTAGCTAAACGCACCCTAGCCAAAGGCACCCTAGCCAAACTCACCCTAGCCAAACTCACCCTAGCCAAACTCACCCTATCCAAACTCTCACCCTAGCCAAACTCACCCTAGCCAAACTCACCCTAGCCAAACTCACCCTATCCAAACTCACCCTAGCCAAACTCACCCTAGCCAAACTCACCCTAGCCAAACTCACCCTAGCCAAACTCACCCTAGCCAAACTCACCCTAGCCAAACTCACCCTAGCCAAACTCACCCTAGCCAAACTCACCCTAGCCAAACTCACCCTAGCCAAACTCACCCTAGCCAAACTCACCCTATCCAAACTCACCCTAGCCAAACTCACCCTAGCCAAACTCACCCTAGCCAAACTCACCCTAGCCAAACTCACCCTAGCCAAACTCACCCTAGCCAAACTCACCCTAGCCAAACTCACCCTAGCCAAACTCACCCTAGCCAAACTCACCCAGGCCTGAGATTAAATTAAATAACAGTTTAAAGAGATGATTAACAAGTATTTTCCTTGAGTCTTATGTCGTCCAAGGTTTTAAAATATCTTTTACATCATGGTTATCACAAGGATAAAAACAGAGATTTTCCTCATCAAAAGAACTGGTGTGACGGTGTAGAATGGTGGGTATTTTTATGATCAGAGCTAAATACATTATTCACACAGTGTCAGGCCACATTATGCTCAGTGTTCTCCAGTGGAACAAACCAGAAAATGTCCTAAAAAAATATGTATGAAATATGTTTATAGAGGCAGAGGATTCTAGCCTAGAATGGGGGAAAAAACATGTTTGAACAGAATTACTGATGTGTTTGATTTGATTATTACAATTAAATCCATACACTTTATTGATCTTAAAATAGTGGAATGTACATGTTACATTTGGCTTTAATAAGAACACTCAGGGTGTACAAATGGACAGGAAATGTGCAAACAAGTATTCAAAGTGCTACCGCTCGAGTCCTGACTAGAACCAGGAAGTACGACCACATTAGTCCAGTCCTCAGGTCTCTGCACTGGCTTCCTGTGGCTCAGAGAATAGACTTTAAAACAGCTCTGATTGTGTGCAAGTCTCTCCATGGCCTCGCACCAAAATATATTAGTGACATGTTAGTCCCATATGAACCAGCCCGGACTCTGAGGAGCACAGGGACTGGACTCCTGTTAGTGCCCAGAGTCAGAACTAAACATGGGGAGGCTGCTTTTCACATTTATGCAACCAAAATCTTGAACAGTCTTCCTGAAAATGTGAGACAGGATTCTAATCCACGTTGAAAACAGTCATGTTTATCTGTGCATATAATTGAAGGATTATATCTTTACTCTTTTTAATATACTGTGATTATTTATGAATGCCTTCATGAGTGACTGTTTCTATCTTGTTTTGTTCAGCACTTTGCCATCACTAATAAACTCCACTTGCTTTGCCTTTTATCAATTAACCTCATTGCTTTTCTCTCTGGATCAATCAAAGCCCAGTTAAGCTCAATATTTCTCTCAGATGGAATGACAGACTCCCAGCTGATGTCCTGTCTTCCGAACAAAGTGGCTCACCGTTTTCAAAGATGGTTCCTGCGATGAAGGACAGCTCAGAGTTGTGTTCAGCCTTGCAGGCGTAGAGAGCACGCGCTTTTCTCCCAGAGACACTGAAACAGACACATGGAGAGTTTAACCCACACCGACTCAAGATTCATGTAATACCAAAGCTTAAACAGAGCAAGGAACTTAGCATTACCTGGAAATTTACCTGGTTTTCAGTATTAACCCTTTAATGCATTAACAGTTTAAGCAATGTGTCTTTTTGGATTCTATCGGAATTTTACCCCTAGTTTTTTTTATTTATTATTATTACAGGCCTTCACCAAATGGATGAGATGCAGTTTGATGGTAAAAGTGAGATGCCCCAAAGAGGAAGATTTCATTTCCAAGTTTCAGAAGGTGATTCACCAAATGTGTGAGTCATTATTAAAAAGTTGATATTTTTGCATATTTGACCTTGTAGTGGACCGTTGGCTGAATGAGTCAGGAGCTCGGTGCCTGAACTTTTGATCACGGTTGCAAATTCAGTGCTCCAGGATCAATTGTTTCGTAAGATTTCTGGTGCGGGGGTCCGTCGGCAGAAAAATAAAAATACCTTCCAAAGATTTGATCCTACAGCATCCTGGAGACCACTGTGATGGTAAGTAAAGTCACCATGCTGCTGCACTACAATAATACTAACCATGCTGGTCAAACATTTCAGGGCAGGACTCACTGAATTGGCATAAAACCAACTCTAAAAAAACGCTACAAAAAATAATGTTTGCATCAAAAACTTGTTAAAATATGATGTAGAGCCCCAGCTAGTGCCCCCACATTGAGAACCACTGCTATTATAGTCTGGTTTTGTGTCTCCTCCTTTGGCATGGGTCTGAAGGCTTTGGCTCTCAGCACAGACAGGGTTATATCCTCGCCACACGGCTCACCAATGTCACTCATGTGTAGGGTCTGATTATACCTTGGCCCTGATGCCGTGTTGTGGTGGATCACGTTTGTCGTTCGGACGGTACATCCACATAAACCCACACTGCACTAGTCTCAAGAAGCAGACATTACATAAACCTTATTGCATTTACATCATTTGAAAAACAGAACATTGTAAGTCTTATCATTGCACAGGTTGGTGTATGTGATTTATTGTAAGGACCGAGAGCAGACATGTCTAAACTAAGGCCCGGGTGCATTATCAGCTTCATCCAGCCAACTACAGCTCAAACAATAAAGTCACGCTATACCTTGATGTAAAGATAAATCCCTTTGGAATCCAGCCATCTATATAAATGGAATCAATATGGATTTATATCATAGCCCATTTTAAAGCTCAGTACAGCTCAGATCCAGTCAAAGCAATTTTAAAATCTGTGTTGTCGGCCCCTGCACAATCTGCTTCACTAAAGAGGAACCTTCGACAAAGTCTGATAGCCTTGAGTTGGGTATCCAAGATTTAACAAAACCCCGTCAGATTTCAATGAGAGATGCAAGGGAATATAATTTTGTTTTAATGAATTATACATATAGTTAATCCCGAAAACGATTTTTTTTTTTTGAAAATGTCAGGTGAAAACCAAGAACAGAAATGGAGCCGTACCTTCCGGGAGAGGAGTCGCTGGATGTGGAGGAGAGCTGGTGTGGGCTGGACGGGGCAGAGAACATGGGCCACGAGGGAGAGCGAGGAGACGTGGGGCTGGGGGAAGGACCGCTGTCAGACACACAACCGCAACACACATCAGTGACGAACCGCCTTATTTCCTTATCTATATGTTTAGTTTGAAACGTTTGTGTTGCGATAAGGCCGGCGCACCACAGCACACTTTTCTTGTGATTGATGATTATTGCGGGAATTCATATGTACATACATAAGTATGCGTCGTGTGTCAAAAAGAGGGCTGCAGATTAAATGCAATCAAATCAAAAAGTGGCAACAATTAGCAAATTATAAATACTTCAATCACTTTAATGATTTTAAAATTGCTTTCTTTGGACACTCATTGTGCATTATAATAGCACTTTTAAATGATACCACTAAGTTTTATAATTGGTTTGAAATCACAACAATTAAAACAACTTAAACTAGTACCAAAACGAGATACCCATTTAAGTATTAGTACATTTCTGATTTTCCACGTACCCGAGTCCCTGTTCATTAAACTATTTTTTTTAACTGTCTAAATCGCCTCGGGTTTCCTCTTTCTCTTGCTATCCCTGCGTTTAGAGCTTTGAAAATGTCTTGGAAATACAAGGATCACATCAAATTTCAAAAACAGGCTAATGAGAGGCTAAATAAGATAGTATTTGCTTTAGTCCAGTAACTTATCAAACTGTGGAATCTTAAGCGAGAATTTACAAATTCCTATTATGAAAATATCCTCAAATGAAGAAATAAAGCAAAAGTTTTCCCTCAAAAATGAATTATTTCAATGTTTTCTGATCATTGTAAATAGTTCTTCATGTTGTTTTTCCTGTTTAGAGGAAACAGGAGAGATTTGATCCCATCTCTAAAAACTGTCAGAGGCTTTTATTCAGTAAAAGTTCTCTGCATTAGAGTTCTCTGTGGTGCGACTGAAGATGAGCTGCATGATGAGGTCAAAGTGTAGTTTATGTTGGAGGAGAGACAGAACTGTAACAAATGAATCCATAATACACACCTGGTTGGTACGCTGCCTCTGCTCTTGGGATTTAACCTGAAATACAAGTAAAATATGCTTAATTTTAACATTTAACAACAAATATTTATACATTTGACCAGAATCTATACAGAGATCAAGCGATTATTTAAAAGGTACAACTGAAAACATCTGAAATGGAATTAATAATATTTGAAACTCAGCTGTGGTTTTGAAAACAGTGCATTTAAGTGTAAAACACAGCACTTTAAGCATCTAGGAGACGCATAAAAATGCAGCAGTAACAAGCACATGTGCACAAATACACATTAGGGTGTCAGAAAGGTTGGATGAATAAGTATAATGCAAGTTGTCTGCTCCACTTCACTATGCGTGTGTGTGTGTGTGTGTCCTTAATGACACCATTTCAACATGTTCCTCATTATTCTTTCCCTGACTATTGAAAATTGATATATTTAAATCATCTGTAAAAACTTGTTTTCCTCTTCATAAAAGGCCCTCAGTAAGGTCAACCTAAGGCGGTCAACCTAAGCAGTACAAAGCTGATGCACGATGCAATTACCAGCTCTTTGTGCGGCTAAACTGTTCTTTTTAAGCTAATAGACTCGACTTTGAGTCAGAACAGCACATTACAGCAAATTACTCCACAGGAGGATGGATTAAAGACGCACACAGAATATCTGCTCTTTACAAGTTTTCACCTGCACAGGACACAGGACACATGCTGCAGCTCACAGCCTTCTCTCATCATTCTAACAGGTATAACCAGCTGGATTTCACCACAGAAACTGGCAACCCAAATGAGAGGCTCAAGCTGATTGGATAATTAAACAGAAAACCAACACATCAAATGTTCACAAGTGGGCATCAAATCTGTTGTGTAAATGACACTTTAGTCATGCCACCTTTTATTTATTTATTTGTTTGGAGGATAAGCCCCTAGAGATGAAACATCTTGTTTTCGAGGGGGTCCTCAAAATTGTACAAAATGACAGATGCAGTAAGGCAGACAGTAGAGCAAACAATATAACATTAAAAAAAAAAATTATAATAAAAAAAAATATACAGACACAAAAGACAAAGGACACACACACACACATTCTGATTGTTGTTAGTATAATGTCTGTTGTACATTAACAGGGATTTAAGCTAGTATCTATAGTAGTGCAAAACCTTGTATGCTCAATAACACTAGCATAGGTTCTGGAGGTGTTGGACCAGAGCATTTTTAAACCTGCAGGTGAAAGCCAGATCCTGTCAGACCTTTGAAGCTAAGCAGGTCAGGGCCTGGTTAGAGCAGTGATGAGAGACCTATGGGAACACCAGCTGCCACAGTGGGGCGGCTGTGGCTGTGAAGTGCCAAACTGTCATTGTGTCCTTAGACAAGACACTTCACCTACATTGGAGGGGCCAGATGGCCCATACTGGGGGCCTTGCTTCTATCGGTGTGTCCCAGGGCAGCTGTGGCTTCAGTATATCACCACCGTGTTTGGAGAGAATGAAAATTGCTATATATAAAACGGATACATTATTACATTTATTATTATTAACCTCATAATTATTATCATTATAGCTCTTATTGAAATGTATTTAAGAAAAGGTCATGTTTGTTTTGAACAAACACTTAGATACCGATTCAGATGAGATTCAAGACATAAACAAATCACTGAACTTACTCCTAATCATCTGATGCATAAAACAATATATATATATATATAACTGTTGTTGAGAGTTCTTTCCTCCAAACCTTTAAAAAGACCCATTCTGATTCTCGTCACAAGGAAAATACTGTAGCCCACCACCGTCCAAGATTCAAAGCAGAATTTCCAAATATAGAAGCTGTGTCGTATTCAATTTGGAGGATGAGAACGTTTTGCTGAAGGGGTGGAAAGAAAGTTCATTACTGTTGGTTTTTTGAAAACAATTACTACACTATTGTGGCGACATACATTACAAACAATAGCCTCATAGAACGTGGCAGCGGGAGAAGCAGGGCTCGATACGGATTCAAAACATCTCTGTTGACATTAATTATCGTCCACATTCTTTCCCGGCAGTGCCATCATTAAAACGGCGGCACTCGGAAGGCCTTTTAATCTGCGCTGCTGCACAAATCAGCTCAAATAAGCACTTTGTTTGGACGTGCACAGGGGTTGCCATGGAGACTGGAAGCTATTTTTTTTCAGTTTTTTTTTTTTCTGTGGTGGGATTCTTGGTTTGAGGATAAGGTCATTGAATAACAGAGGGCACATTCATTCATGCATCTTCATCTGTTTCTGGTTTGTAAACAGATGTGACTAGAACGGGCACTTGGAGCGCACATACCCCGCCAACACCGCGGATCATCATCGGAATTTTAGTGGGGTCTTCCTACCATCACATCTACACACATTTCAGATCAACACATACAGTAGAATCTGAGCAATCCCGCCTAGAGAAGAAAAAATACAACATACAAATACAAGTGCAAATGTTTAATCTAATTGGATTGGGACGGTAAACATGACATCTGGGGTGCCTTACTTTCAAACTACAAAAAAATGTATGTGCAGATTTTGCTGAACTATTAAGTGCACCTGTATGTACACCGCACCAGCTGAATTTAGAAAAGAGAGTACATTATATAAGTTGCATAAGAACATGTAATAGTTAATGGGCGGCACGGTGGCTGAGTCTCGCCTCTTAGCAAGAAGGTCCTGGGTTCGAATCCCGGTCGGACCAGGGCCTTTCTGAGTGGAGTTTGCATGTTCTCCCCGTGTCTGCGTATGTTTTCTCCGGGTACTCTGGTTTCCCCTACCACTAAAAACATGTACAATAGGTCTGGCATGGGCCTCCTGTTCGGCGACCCCGCTCCCATCTCTGTGTGGAGTGAGAGGACAAATGCCTAAAAATAACAATTGTAAACGGTGTGACTCTGGTCTGTGAAAGGCGGTATATAAATAAAAATTACTTACTTACTTACTTAATGGCGCAATAGCCCATAGACGACTTTAACAGGTCTTTCAATGCACGGTTGACTCGTGACGATGGTTAATACTGTTATTTGGTTATTTCCTACTTTTTTACAATAATTGTGCTTCCTATCCCTACTATTCATTAGTAATAAACTAGTACTTCTTGAAGTCCTTAAACTCGGCTCAGACAACAGCCCTAATGAAAAATAAACAGTCCTGTGTATTCCATAAACAGTTCCTAACATCTCTCTGCTGTTCACATAAACACGCAGGGAGCAGGAATGTGTGCTACATCATTAGCTTTGAAGATCAACAGCTTATAGAGATGTTCAATAGTTTAAAGGTCTGACAAATATGGCAATAAACGACTTTCCCAAAACAGTTAGAGGGATGGGAAGAGAATCAGTAGGTTCACATGCAGTTATCATTGGCCTCTGTCACAAAAGAGAGGACCACCTTCACTCAGCCAATCAGTTCTGAGCCCAAACCGTCAAGAAGTGACTCACAGGGCTTTATATAACTAGTATGTAAAGTATATATATAAAATAGGGGAGTATTTTGTGGTCTGATGCGTTCACAAAATTATACTTTCACTTTCTGTTATGATAAACAAGATGTATCATTTGTGAAAAAACTAAATTAAGTACCCGGTGTTTTTTACATGTAAGCTCACTTTCATCTATTTAATACAATGCTACATAAACAAGTATGTGATAATGCAGGGAGAAATATTGGGCACAGCCTCCGCAAATGACAATACTCATACATATGAAATGGTAATATTGCCTAGGTAAACAAATCCAAGCCATTCAAAACACTCTAAAAATACTTGCATATGCCAATTCACGTCTGCAGATTATCCATCACAAAACCTAACTGCAAACATAACAACCTGGTGCGTTACTTATTTATTGAATTGTCTTCTTGAGCGATTGTTCCGTCCCACTCTATTTGTCACATAATGCTTTTCTCACAGCCCTCTCAGTGGCTTTTTCCACTTTGATTTTCTTTCAGCTCCCATATCCGCCTCGAGACGTTCCACTATCCTTCTGCGCTGCTCAATAAAGCTTCAGCGAGCGTCAGAGATGTGATTTCAGCTGTCACTCAAACAAAAGACTTATATACAGGTGTTCCATCCTTTCCTACATCCTGGATTCAAAAGAGGAGATGCTGGTTGAAATGATAAAGCATTGGTTATTTTTTTTCAGGAAAGTATCTCCACAAATCCCAGTATCTCCAGCAGAATTCAAGTAGTTGTGTTAATTGCGGTCCTTCAACCTGATGTACTCTTTGACATTTCTGTCTTAGAATGTGAAATATTGTCTCATGTATAAAATATAAGGATACATATGTTTAACTTATGAAGAAAAAAAACGTATACAAAAGGGAGTGGGAGATGGCGGAGCAAGAAGTGTGAAAATATGTCCTGCAAGATTTAGATTTAAATCTAACTCAATCGCACAATTTAGTTGTAAATAAATTCCCAAACACATCATGTCTCTCAGCTAGCCTCGGAATTCCCCCGAATGAACTGGAGGAAGTGTGCGTGGATTAGCCTGGCTCTGCCAGACCCATGTAGTTCCGCCATGTTCCGCCAGAGGCGTTTGGCTGAGCCACATTGGTCTGGGCCTGAGCCATAGGATTTTTATTTCAGAAGGCAGGGCCTTGTAAAAAAAAATCCTTGCATGTGATTGGATAAACCACTTGTCCGTTTTCTTGAATGATGTCTGCTTTCAACCACTCACATCGAAGCACACGACTCCCATTGGTTGCCAAATGCCGGCAAGATTTTCAAGCCAAAATCCGCGAGAATGCCCCCCAAAAAAAACTCTCCGAATTATTTTTGGTCTAAAAACGTAATGTAATCAACTTAGGCTATCATGATTCTGTTTGTCTTTCTGTTAATTTATTACCTACAACTCACTTGGAAAAAAGTATGCGGGAAACCACCCAACCTGGCAACCCCGCTGCATGGTGTTGTAAACAGAAACAGGAACCAGTGCTTAAACCGAACTTTACACGGAAATTTGGCTCTTGAAACACACATATATCAACATAGAACCATCAAGATCTCGCCTCAAATTGCATTAAAAGTGACATCCG